TTTAAAAGTTCTGCGTTCGTTCTTAATAATACTTACTTACATTATGTATGTGATACATATATACATATATATGTGTGAGTGTAAAGATAAATTTATTTACACATTCTTATAATAAATCGTAGAGTGGTGAATTTTCTAAAAATTCAATTAATTTATTTTGCAATAAATGCTGCGCCGCTTTTCAACGTTCCGATTACTTTTCCACAATCTCGAAGCGTGTAATTTTTCTCGCGCGCACTTTTTTGTCGTTATATACGAGTATTTATACCCTTGCGTCGCTTCGACCAAAAAATTTTTAAAGGGATTCTATACAACCAGTTAATTGAATTTGAAGACTTTGCACTATAAAATAGCTAGATCTTATATAACACGTATCGATATCGATATTTTAAACAGACATATATTATAAATGCTTGTACAACACTATGAATATTAATTTACTCGTATTTTATTGTTTAGTACTTTTAGGTGGTTGCATAGATTCATTTTTCAATTTCGTCAATGCCGACTTTTTAATGACGTAAGAATATTCGCTTTGAGTCTAAATAATTTACAAGTACGTATACGTTTTTTAAATTGTAATAAAGTTTAGTTTAGCACGTTAATAATAATTAATAAAATATAGTTATAAATTAAATGTAAAATCTGTTTATGCAATAAGTTAAGTTGGTGCTTGTCTTAGCACTTATATAATTAGTTGGTAGATTGTACAGATTAAGGATAGTGCATGCGGAGCTGCAAAATAAATGTTATAAATTACAAAAAAAACCGTGAATATTAATAAACAGTAGGAAGTCATTAAATATAAGTATTACAAATAAAATTATTTCAAAATGCTATTTTAAGTAAGTACAGGCGTGCTGATGTCAATATCCTACGGTATTTAGTAAACTATTTGTGCTAAAGAATAGTAAATGTATTAAGTAAAATGTAGTTAGTTAGGTAGGTCATTCTTTATGTCTTAATGACAGCTATAGACTATATCAGGACACATATCAGGACATTATAAATTTCCTACACATTTATTTCGGCTTAATTTAATTGATAATCTAAATTATTGTAACAGTAATCTTTCAGATTCAGATTTCCGATTGATGAATCATATAAACTTTGTTTGTCCCAAATTCTCTCTTAAAAGGTTAATATATATTTGTGAATGAACAGTAAATAAATTAAATTGTATAGACATAGTTTTCTCAACACGATCTTTTTAAAATTTCTTAATTTGTATAAAGTGATTTATAATTATATAATATCCACCATCGGAGAAATTTAACATTGTAAGTAGTTTCTGTTACTCAACGAATAAATTTAAGTTTATTCTCTGAGTTTGTAAATTACTGTATATATTTATAATTGTTTTTAGGATTACAAGTAAGGATGTATGTTAATATTATATCTATATTTTTGTACTGTTTTTCATTCTTTGTAACTTTTTAGACTGACGGTTTTTTAGCCAACGGTTTAATTAATTAAAAAATAAGACATAATTTGTAAGCGATTTCCAAATAAAGAGTATTTAAATTTGTCTAAATTTTGTTATTGTGCAGTCATGTCAATAACGTAACATATGTATAACATCGAGTCAATTCTCAACCGATTTTCTCAATTCTTTTTACATTATTGTAAAAAGATAAAAGAGATTCTTTTTATAAAAATATGAAGGTAAAATTACCATTTTGAACAAAAAACTGATTCGAATCTCTGAAACAAGACAATGAAAATTATCTCGGAAATATTACGTCGTTTATAGGCATGTTTACAATTGAAGTCACAATTTTTTACATAGAAATATACCTATTATATGAAGAATCCGGGATTTACTTAATTGATATTTACTAAATTAATTTGTCAGAGACTTAAATGATTTAATGTTATTATTATTTAATTTTCATTTCCTGTGTTTTGATCGTTCTTTAATTAAAGGTTTTTAAATATATATATTTATAGGTATCACTTTTTTTTTAATTATTTTGATGACGTAAAGTGTTTTTAAGACGAGCCATAAACTTATTTTCTACATTGAACTAATATGTACATTTATATAATTTCTTTTTTGATTAACTAAATAAATTATAAATCAACATATAGAAGAAACTGTGCTATATTACACACAAAAAAAATGGAATAGATATGGACTTATCTTTATTTAATAAAGTCTTGAAAATAAAAGATAGGTAAAACAAAAGAGTAAAACAATATTTGAATTAAAATACAAACAGCACAAAAATAATTTCGGATTACTTTTTCCTAATTTACAGAATTACAAGACCACTTTTATTTGTGTCATTCCTAATATAGATTTATCATATTTTATTAAATTATAAATTCGAGAAAATAGCAAATATTCTGTATAATATAAAAATATTTAAAAGGTTAAATATCAAACTAGTAACACACTATATTTCCAAAATCCCTATACACCGTCATTAAAACTATACGTATACTATATAATATAACGTATACTAAAATTTACATATATTTAACTAATTTTAACCTTTCATAATTTTAATACAAATCTGATGATAACTTTATTAGTAACCCATGTTGCTGATAAGATATTGTAGTAACTTAGGTATAAGATAGCATTTTAGAGTTCAGGAAACCAGAGACGACTTTTGATGCTGACTGTATATCACAACGACAGGACGAAATCAATTTATCTAACTGGTTAATTGTATATCTACATTCTAATAAATTGGACAAGTTTAATCAATGTGTGAAAGGACAAATATTGAATTTAAAATAGACCTACGGCCCGGCCTGGATTTTTATGGCATTTTTTTAATAAAATATAGCATATGTCACTCGCTTATAATGTAGTTTTATATACAAACAGAATTTTTAAAATCAGTTAACTAGTTTTTGAGCTTTATTATTACAAACAAACGTATAAAAAGTCAAATCTTTCTTCTTTATAATATTATTACAATTTAAGTAAAAGCTACTATATCCTACTACTACTTGATACTAGCTATATCCCGCAACTCTACTCGCGCGAATTAGAATAAAATATCCTATATAATTAATCTTGAATATTATCCAACTTTATACCAAACTTCATTTTAATCCGTTTCGCTGTTTAAGTATGCTATATGAGTTACATATGCTCATATGTAACTTATATATATTATGCTTAAACATGATTATGTCATATGTGATATGAGTTATAATCATTTCAATATCTAAATGTCCATAAATCATTGCAAACTTTCATGTTTATACTCGTAATATACGTAAAATAATTTTAAGATAATGTATTAACGTACAAATATGAATATATGTATTTTATTATAATTTAAGATAGCAATATCTGAGATACATGTATATTAATTTCGATTATTAGAAAAATAATAATAAATACCTACCTAATATACACATACAAAATATATAGAAGAATTAGAAACCTCCTTTAAGAAGCCCTAAAAAAACATCACCATTAACAATTACGATCTTTATTCCAGCTGAATGATATATACGATAATATGATGTTGTACGATGTTAAAACAATATTGTAATATGGATGATGTAGTGATTTATATTTTTAAATTGAAATGTTTAATGAACTATCATACTCACTATCATATTTATTTCATTTTCTTCTATACCACAAAGGGGACAAACAAGTGCACGACCCACCATAAAAGATAGCTTATGTCTTTCTCCATCCCAAATATAACGAGTACCTATGTTGAATTTTATATCAATTGTTTAAAGAGGTGTCAAGAGACCACAATCGTACAAACTCACTTTTACACATTAGTATAGGACCAAAGGTACTATCCTTAATGTATGGCATAAGTATAGGTATAGTATATATTTTAATTACAAAAAATGCTATCCTTATGATAATAGGATTCTTTGTGATTGAAATTACAAATATTATTTATTCATTTATTCGTCATTACACTAATTTTATTACAAAAGATTATGATTAGATTGTTTATCGGACTATCGGTATGTCTAATGTATATATAAAATAACTTTCCTATGTATAAACTGTATGTTTCGTATCAAAATGATAAATATTACCAGTAAATGAAAACAACTGTAGATAATAATGAGATATTTGACATACTCAAGAAATCCGCCTCAGTTCATTTGGATCCACATGTAGATCCAGTGATGGACATATCACCAAAAATGTTATATTTTAAAAGATTTTTATAAACCTTTATTTTATTTATTTTCCTATACTTCTATAGGGAACAAATATGGCAATTAAATTTTCGATCATTTCCTTATTCCCAATTAGTAGACAGTTAGTACAAATCTAGGCTTCTGCAGAAAATGCAATGCATACTGTATTACTTGCTTAATTTTATGGTACATTCAATATGGCGGCCGAAACAAAATGGTGGATGAACATTTCCTTTACAATACTCTCGGCATGTCAATCAAATAAAATTTGACGAGTAGAATACAATAAGCTGTGTTCCGTCATTGTAAATTCAATATAAGAGCTACCACAAAATCGCGGTTACCCATTTTATTCCCAACCCCTCTCCCCCTACTTCTCACCTCGATAAGGGTATCGAATGTATGGGTGTGACGAATAGACTACAATAAGCTATATATAAACTAAAGCATATAATGTTGTATTGTCTTTGTTGAGTTTCGTATTAGCTCTAAATTACGAATTTCAACTAAAACTGATTTCGTAAAGAAAATAAATTCTAACTCACAAAGAAACAATTTACTTTGTAACTTGTTCCAGTGCTTAGATACCTAACTAATCTTTGAACTTTGTTTTGTTTATAACTAACCTCTCGGTACAAAGAAAAGGAAAGGAAATCCTATTTTATGGCGTAACTTTAGTGAATAAAATCTATTATTTTTGAATTTTTATGATTTATTTGGTCGGAAAGATGTAAATTTTATAATAATTGAAACTTTAAAAAATTATATCATTTTTAACTCTCACAGTAAGTATTAATAAATGGAATAAAGATTCTGTCTTGCATAACACCTAATCGTTAGTTAAAATATAGAAGTACGAAATCAATTCAGTGTTGCTTTGTTTTCCGAATCATTAGAGAGCTCTATCATCATGAATCTTGTTCAAATATTAGTTCTCATTTATTTAACAAAAACAACAGGTACGTGTTATTAAACTTTTAGAAAACCTCTTTCTCGTGAAATTATAGAGCGTATATCGCGTCTAAAACATAACAATAAATTCATTATAATGCCTAATATTTGTGTATAAATTAATAAATATTCATTGGATATTCAAGTAATCATATGTTTCTTAAAGCAATTTATTTAATATTTTTAATATCTTCTTATCCTGGCTTGTGGGTATTACCATGACTTGGAACCTTTACTGTTATGTTTGTTAATAATTTAAGATTTTCAAGAAAAACTACGTCTTTAATCACGATTAATTTAACATTTTCATTATTATTACATAGAACTAACAAAAGAGACCCTTTCAGCTTCATATTTTATGTGTCTCAAATTTCACTGTTAAGTATACAAAATGAACCTACATCATGAGGGAAAAATTAACAACCTCTATCCAGACTTGTTTCTGAACTTTTCATCGTGTCAGTCAACGATCAACTAACTTTTGCGTGTATTAACTGTGGTATTACTAAACACAGGCATATTATTCTACACAGGTATATTATACATATTGCTAGTGACAGCTGACTAGTAAAGGATAACGGTTACCTTTCGCTTCCGTAGTCGAAGTCCGGATAATGAGATTAGACTCAAGACCCGCCCTTGTACCCCACAAGAAGAGTAGCAGAGGGCCATTGTGACCACTAAAAAAAAAAGACTTAAATATTAACAAATATAGCGCACAACACGAAAGTAAAACTAATATATTGAAAAAATACAATAATTATCAAGAGTCATACAATATATTATATATACGGCACGAAAAGCTTCTAATACTAACTAGCATTCTTTGACCTTTTTTGCCTATAGTTCAGTCTTGATTTTTATTTCCGACGTTTCGTATATGAATTTAAATATGGGTAAGTAACGCGAAAATCTAATTTTGTTTTATTTTTATAATATCATTTAAACAAACGGTGATACAAAACAGCAATGGAATAAATGCTGCAAGACTGACATAGTTGTTTGTTGAGTTACAATGACTTTGTAAAAAAGTCCATCTCTGTACCCCGTTCAAGTGGTGGACTTTTATATGCGGCCCAGATTCAAGGGTTTAAAAAAATCTGTTTTAGACAAATTATTTTAAAATGCAATGAATTTAAAAACATTGAAAAGAGAAATTGTGGCTGAAATAATTCTATGTATTTTGAGGTGTGTTTCAATGTCCAAGCTAAAAAACTGACCAAGTTATGATTTATTCATACATATAATCATAGATCTATGTTTTCAATGCAGCCCTGTTTATTTTTCATTCTAGATACTGATGTAGCCTTTAAAATTTATAATTTTATATATTAAAAGTTACACTAATTTGATAAATGTCAATCCAAAGAACGATGAACAAAAATCTCATACAAAATTTTATTTAAAATTCAAATTATACATGCTGTGAGCCGAGAGTGATCAGGAGACGTTAAATAGTTTCTCAAAAAATTCAAATATGGCAAATTGATATGGCAATAACTTGAAAGCATAAAACAGATTTTAATGAGCAATAGCTCGTTATAAAGCGATTAATATCTTACATGATACATATTCAACGTTACAGTCAAAGGTCGTTAAAATAAAATAAAGGATATTTTTGTGAAAAAATTTTACTGCAATATTCATCATGTCGCCCTATAATAGGATTCAAAACATAAAAAGTCATTGTAAAGGTATTAACAATTTATACATTAGATAAAGAAATTCAACATTTTTATAATACGCTCAAAAAGTTTAGGTTTTACTTAATTGCAAATTTAGAGACTAAGATCAAAATACAATAGTGTAAAAAAAATTACCAACATGCTCCATTTCAAACAGCGTCCGTATTAGTTTTTTTTTTTCAGAATGCATAATTATACTCATATCACACATATTTTTGAAAATGGCGGACATTGTGAAAATCAATGATAAGCATTATTTATTTAACTTATAATTTGTTTTGACTCGTGTTTTTTTTTAGATTATATCAATATCTTATCTTTAGCAAAAGATGAATGATAGAAGATTAAAGTCCCTATTTTCTTTTAATATATTTAATTATTTTCAATACATCGATTTTATACAAGCAAATTTGTTAAAAATAGACAAGTATTTCCTAATTTTCTGAAAATTATATATAAATTTATTTTTATAACACAAAATAAAACTATACGTTTATACATGGCACATCTTTTCGATAACATTTGTCTAATTTAACTTTATGTGCTTAATAAAAAAATACAAGCATTTAATAAAGGAAATTTTTGGAATCAGTAAATTTTTATATATTTTTTAATTGCTTATTTAAATTTATTATTTAAATTAGTTAAATATTAAATTATTAAAATTTTAAAATGTATTTTTTTAAAACGCTTATATTTTTAATTTAGGAACAATACCTGAATTAATTATTATATAATGCGCATAAAAAAATAAAGTTGTTATATGTATTGTTTTTATAAAATAAAAAAATACATAAATAATTTTTTTTATTTTTTTTTCAACATGCAATAACTATTTTAAAAATTTGGAATAAAGTCAATATAAAGATTAATGTTTTTGCTTCATAGAAGTGTTCTTTTTTAATATTTAAAAAAATATAAAGTTATATGTAATTTTTAATATAACATTGACTGGAGAAAATTCATACAGATGTGATTCGCTTTTTGATCAATTTTTTACCGGGCTGTTAAAAGAATTAATAAAATGTGCGTAATTATTTTAGCTTCAATGTCTTCTTTATATATTTATTTATTTAAGGAACACCAACAGCATATTGCATTATAACATATAGATATAAGAAACATTAAATATATTACAATATTAATGCATATGCCTTTTTATTTTTCAATTTGTTTAGTAGTTTTTGAATAAATTGCGAAAAATTTACTTTTTTCCTAATACCTCTTTGACTCAACTTTCTGAAGTAGACTTTTTTATATGGCTTCATAATTTAATGAATGAATAATGACTATACCAAGTTTAAAATTCCCAGCAATTTTTTTTTACGTTTGTATTATTTTTTCTGTATTATTATTTAATCAATAAATCATATAAAATAGGGTTCGTTAAGACTTATTTTTAGGGCAAATCCTTCACAGAAACATTGCGACCGTATACGGTTCTGAGAATAGATTCACTTCAAAAAGCATTGTTTTGATGTAACACTTTTATCTTCTACTGTTAAGGCTGCCATGGCTACATAGATAACAAAATATACTGATAAAATAGATTAAGAAATGCCTATTATGTATATAGAAAATCAAATTGTTAAATGGTCGGTATCAAAATTTATTAATCGATTTAAACAATGATGTCACATATTAGCCACGAATTTCTATTACTCTGGAATCTTCAATAAGAATAGATAGTAAATTACGTACGTAACACGATTTATGTTGTTCATCGGTGTTCTAACTACCAAAAAGTTATCATATCAACAAAGATATACACTATCATTTTTATATTATTATTTTTTATGAGTACCTTTAAGTATATAAAATCACTGCTATAGTCTTTATATTATCTAATCTTTTATTGTTTAGTATTACAGATAGTGTCTGGAGAATGCAATACTAATGCGTGCGAAGTATTGGAAATGCTAACCAGAGGTTCCAGTAATGATCAAAATCCATCTTTAGGATCTTGCACTGCAGATATCCACTGGCGACAGTTGGATCGTAGACTAAGAGCTATAGAACAACCAGGTAATATTTTTCACAAGATGAAAATGGAATAGTAACGCTGCTATTCCATCAGTACATGTTAATAGGGCACCAATGATAAGCGATAGGTAAGGATGAACTCAGATAATTTAGCCCATCGTGATAAATTTACCAGAAATTACCACGATGTAACTATAACAACCAGGTTTTTCAAATTTTTAGTGTTTTTTTCCTGTAATTAACCTTGACTCTGTAGGTCACGGTCTTTGTACGATTTTAAAATAACGTTTTAATCGTAATTGCTTCTCTCTTGATCTTGCAAATCAGTTTAGTAAGAGGTCAATAAACCCAGAGTTTTTTAAATTCATCTCAATCTGGTTTATATTTCAGTGTTTATATCATGTCAATTTTATCTGACTGCATTCGTTTAATGTATAGCATGGACGATCAGTTTCGGCCAAGCTCGTTGGCGTCAGTGCTCCAAAGGTATATGTCAGTGTGATGCTACTCGCCGATCATTGAACTGCTGGAGAGTTGGTCTATCCAACCTCCCTACTGACTTAATAGTACCAGCTGATCTTGTAACCATGTTAGTATTTCTTTTTAACTTTTATAATTTCATTTAAGTGTCTAAAATCGTTTAAGAACAAAAAAATACAAACAGATGATCTCGAGGGTATAAAGTACCAGGAGATTTTATATAAAATTCTATATATAAAAGCCATTAAGCAACCTATGACAGTGAAGTTACAAGAACTAAGGTTCTTAACATTAGCAATGCAGACTTTATCATAGACATTATAGTCTGACGTATATTGTGCTATACATATCAGTAAGCGATATTTAATCACTTTCCATTAGGTGAGCCTTGTTTGCCATAATCAGCAGTGTAAAAAAACATTTTCATAGAACAGTAAAATTTACTTAGATCATTAAGAAACCATAATAATTATTTTGCGGTTTATTAATTTATTCATATTATTCGTGTGACGGCCACCACGGAGAATGGGCCACCCCTTCCTTTTCCGGGCAAATTAAGGGAATTTAATGGTCGAAAGATAGGCAACAGCATCCCTCTTAAAACGCCACCAAAAGCCAAATGTTGTTTACCATACTTCGCCTGCCAAGCGTGGCAATTACTGGCAACCCCTTATTGGGAAGGTCTTTGTTCAATAGTGGATAGTTAATAATAATATGATGATAATAATAATGGTTATATTACATTATATGAACATAATTATAATATTAAGCTTAGTTTTTAAAGTTTTAGCTACTGAATTCCACAATTTCATCTTGACTTTTGCATCTTAGCTTTGAGTTTTTGATGGAACTCTCGTAAATCAAACATTCTGAAGTATAAAAAACCTGAATATAATATATATTTATAGGAACATATCTAAATCAATTCATTAATATCAGCTTATTCAGCTATTAATAATGCATTTCTAATGCAATAAAAATTTTAAAATACCTTGTACCTACTTATAGCTTAATTTTTAGATCCGTTTCCGTTTTCGGTTATATCATCTACTACTATAAGTTATCCATATTATCGTTTTAATACAAAAATAACCTTCTTAGATTTAAATTTCAATTTAATCGATATAAACGCTTGAGTATTAAATACATTGTTAACTAGATAAGATTTGAAGTCAATCATTAACATAGATATGAGCTAACATCAGCTTATTTATAATACCAATGGATGTTATATATATATATATATATATATATATATATATATATATATATATATATATATATATATATATATATATTATCATTTCTAACTTAGAGTAGTAAAGGCACTTGTAATTATTTCCATTAAATAGACTTAAATAGATTTAATATAATCATTTGTCAAAAAACCAGACAGTTATTGTTCTCGAAACAATGCCTCTCGAAACAAACTTTATTACTTAATAAACAATGTTAAATCTAATCTAAATTTGCGGTGCATTATTGTATTAATGTGTTTATTTATATACATGACAAGAATCACTTTCTAGCTAGTATCTGCAGGAGATTTAAAACGCTATATATTGCAATACTTTACAGTACTAAATAAGATACAATGATGACGCCGCTATGATAAATATTTGATGTTGTCAAATAAAATCAATCTTGTTGAACGTTTCAGGTTTTTTACTTTTGTACTTTGAGTGTGAACTAGATAATATATGTATTCTTATTCAGTTTAATTTACATTGATTATTTGCATCAGCCGTTAACTTTCCAAGGATGTACATAGGCTTCCCTCTTGGCGGAGTTTCCTTGTAATCGCCACGTTAGGTAGGCGGATTGGAAACCGCAATTAGGATTTTGTTGATGTTTTAAAAGAGACGCTGCTGCTCATCCCTCGACTATCAAGTTTCCTTAATCTCCTTTTGCGACACCCACGGAAAAGAAAGTGGTGGCCCATTGTATGCCGGAACCAAATTGCAAGTCAATTACGTTCAATCAGATAAAATTTACAAATAAATAGAACATTTTAACACGTTTAGCACCGTAAATAATTAAATGTCCATTGTCTTTCTTATAGAATAGTCTGTTATGATATTACGTATGTATACAGCTAACCTTAGTAGCTAACAATAAATACATGCACGAATATTATGCACATTCTTTTTTTTTTCTTGTGTCATAATTTATAATAATAGTAGAGCAGAACTTTCTATGTATTAAGCATATATTATAGTTCTTTATTATAAACTTTTATCTTAAAAATTATCTAATATACGAGTATTATATCGCATTTTAGGTAAATAGGTATTTAAATTTATGAACATACTTATTACAATATGAAAGCAGCATTGTAATAATAAGTCAGAGTTGGAAGATGCATTATTACCTCTTAGCTTTTGAATTTTACGAACTAAAGAGGATCAGACAAAATTGTTTTGAAAATGTTTTCACTTCACTCGTCTCGAGTATTCACAGTTCGTATCAAGGCTACTAAGCACATCGAGTGTAAAGTAACATCAAACAACGACTTATTATCTCGATGCTCATATTTTATACACAGTATGTATTTATGTTTAATAATATACTTAGCGGGTCTTAATTCTCATTCTATTACAATTATAAAGATTTTAAAAGTAAATTATGATTTAAAAATCTAATGAGAAAAAAATTATAAACTACTTTTCAAATTATTGCAATATCTTAGAATATTCATTGGCTAAATTTAAAAGCCATGCATATAAACAACTATAAATGATATGAATACCTCGCTTACATAGGAAACAAATTTATATTAACGCAGTTATTTAACTAGCTAACAAAGTTATTTAACAAGTTGATCTATAGTAGAGTTTTATCATTTTATACTCTTTACTCATATTGTGATAATTTGCAGAGATCTGGGCACGAACAAATTGCGGACTCTGCATAAGACAACATTCAAAGGAATGCGCTTACTTGCCGAGTTGGATATGTTTGACAATCACGTGGAATATCTGCCAGCTGGAATATTTGATTCACTTGTAAATTTAAGAATATTGTATGTAGCAGAACTTCAGCTAGAATTTACTCATTTATATTTCAAATTTAATATTTTATGATTTTTCAATGCAGGGAAGAATTAATGTTATGTTCAATATTTCATATATATAATATAATTACAAAAATATCAGAATTATAATAGTAATTTTTTTAAAGTTACTATATCCCGCTGAGATGCTAGAAGAGATGTATAACAATCTTCTATCAATAAAAATTTAACATCTTATTAAAATTTTTATTAGCTTACTTTTTAAAACTTGCAAAAAAAACATCTTAACTTTTGATTCCCTACCATCAAGAGTAGGTAGTAACTTTCAAAATATCATTAAGAATTCTGGTGGATATTGGATTTCGATTAGAAATTTAATTTAAAGCCAATGACGCAGTTGGTATCGCTAGTGATAACTAGTAATAGAATATTGTGTTTTTCACCGTACTACACCAAGTTTTTTATACTTTCAGACGTCTTCAAAGAAATTACCTGGAGGAAATTGATGGTATAGCATTTCGATATACAAAGAAACTTTTTCATGTAGATCTCTCCAATAATTATTTATATACACTGCCGGAACGTTTGTTTGCTAATTGTTCTGTATTAGAAACAATAGATATTTCAAACAACCATTTAATTTATATACCGTCAGATAGCTTTATAGGGCTTCACTCTCTATATATATTAGATTTATCTAAGAATAAAATTCAACAGATAGAAAATGGGACATTCTTACTTGCCAAGCTCCAGATACTAAAACTATCAGACAATAGGATAAGTAATATATCAGAAAACGCTTTTAAAGGACTTGTTTCTATAGAAACTTTGTTACTTGATAGGAACAAATTAAGGAATATACCAAGTCGCCTTTTTTATAATCTCAATTGTTTAACATTTCTCGATTTATCGAAGAATCATTTAATAAGTGTGAGTAAATATATGCTTATATTTTCTTCTATGCATGATAACAGAGATTTATGGTATTATTTTCATAAAATTACAACAATCATAATTAATATTAAGCTGAATTAAGTCACAAAAATACAAGTTTAAATATACTGTTATTATATTTGCAGGTAACGGGCGTCGAATTTGAAAATCTGAATATGCTCCGTTATTTGGATTTGAGAGAAAATGATTTATCTGAATTGCCCGATTATGTGTTTTCTAACTGCTCGAGATTAGAAACAATTGATTTAACTAAAAATAAATTACGATTTTTAAATTACACATCATTTTATGGATTAGAAAATCTTGCATCATTATATCTATCGGAAAATAAGCTCCATGGAGTACATTTTAAGACTTTTTTTACACAAAAAAATCTCACAACTTTGCAAGTATTGCTTATTTTATAATACATTTAATAATAAACTTTTACCAGTCAATAATTACTAGATTTACTATACACTGTGTTATAAAAGACTGGCATTGACGCTATCATTTAAATTATCATACTCGACATTTACCTTACGTAATTCCTGTCTTTTATAAACCGTAAACCATTCAATACAAAAGTCTAAAAGTTAATACTATTAGATATAATAAAAATTAAATAAAAAAATATAGAATTGATTAATAAAACTTTTTTTTTTCATATTTTTATAGGCACTTGGATAATAACATGTTTCCATCACTACCTTCCCGTACTCTGGATTACATGCCTAAACTAGCAATTGTAAAACTATCTGGCAATCCGTGGCATTGTGACTGTCACGCTCTATATATTTCAGCGTGAGTATATACTATATAGCTGCCATACTATTATACCAGGGTATAGAGGATTTATTTATATTATAGAAAGATTGTTTATTTTCACAAAAATCTAACTCATGCTAAGTCGTACCAATTTCGTGTTTGAAAATTTACTCCAAATGTATTATAACTTTTTTAATATCAGAAACTGAACCTATCCGTGCAATCAATTCAAAAAACAATGAAAAACTTTACTGCGCCCTTCACAGTGCCAGTATAGTTGAATTTTCCAATATTACTAAAACCTTCAGTTGCCAAATTGTTAGCATTAAATTTATTCAATCATCCTGATAGTTAAAATATTTTTCAAATTAAGATATACTATATATTGTAGTTGTAGTTAAAATTACACTATATACTCTCTTAATAAATTATATGTAGATAATAAAACAAAATAAAATTTCCAGCTGGGTACGATTAAACGAAATGAAATTATGGGACTACTCTCCAACATGTGTATCGCCCTGGTACTTAGAGGGCCACTTTTTGAAAAATCTCAAATTTCCGGAGCTATGTACCGGCCAGTGGGCGAGCATGGTAAATTTGTCTCCAAGACTCCCCATACAACAACTATTAGCGCTTAATGTTTCTGTCAACAGAAAACCTCAAGATAGTATGGAACAGAACCATGACGTCATTACTGTAGACACCTGGCATTAACAGAATATGCACAGTATACATAGTAGACACTGTCTACACAATTATATTACGAGTATACTAAATAAATATCCATGATGTAAATGAAACAGTTTATTTTTATTTGATGTTATTACCCATTGTATTATTATATCGATAGTCTGCACTAGCTGTTGCTAGCGGTTTTACACGCGTGGTGTTGTTTTCTCTTTAATTTAAAATTTTAACCGACTTCAAAAACGGAAAAGGTTCTCTATTTAGTTGTATTTATTCAATATCTATTAGTAGTCTGTGTTGATAGGACAAATAATAAAATTTAATTTATAAGCATATGTTCAAATTTCATTATTTTTTTTCGGTTCAAGGAAGTTTTTATGGATAATAATGAAATGATAAACCCCGCCTATGCTATCGGTATACGCTGGCGGGGTACCAGTGATATGATAAAACCATGATGGTTTCCAGGGAAAAGGGTTGCCCTGATAGGCTATAGCTAACAATGGGGCTGTGAAACCCCATTACTAACAACCCCTTTCCCCCCACGTTTTAGATATTAGGTTGTGGCATTATTTATCTTTCATCTATCATTGATTATTAGAATTATGATGTTCATTAATAACTTCAAGTAATAACTGTTTTAATTGTTTTTTTTTAAAGTATGTCCTTAATTTGTATTTTGTTTTTTATATAAAGCAATATTTTGTCAATTGTGGAACGATTTTGATGATTTTTAATGAAAATAATAGGTTTGTGTTGGTCCCGCATTATTTTAATCGGCATATTGTTATTACGAGTGTTTTATAAATAATTATAAATATCATAAAAAAAATATTGTAATTAAATTTTGATCTAGAAATTACGTTTTTGATGAAAGCCGCTTCTGATAACAGCTAAATTGTCCACTATCAAATCTTAAACTTTATTTTTATTAATAATCGTTATCAAATATGATAAGTATTGTAATTAGCTATTTAATAAAGATTGTTAGGCCATTGTTGAAACTATATTGCAATATCAATCACATTTCAAATAAATATCATTGCTATTAACAGAATACATCTTTGTTTCAGATACAGTAGAAAGTCATTAGACATTTTTTTACTTACTATTTTTATAAATATAAATGATGATAAATTTACTTACACATGATATTTTTCCTAACGGTTTCAGATATCTTTACGGACACAAACTTTTGATGATTAATAATACTACAAATTAACTCCTTTTTTATTTCTTTTTAGGTAGATAGATATCAGAAAGCACTACTCGAATCAGTATAGAAATGAACTTTTTGTTAGGATAATGATACAATCGTTTATAATTTATTAGCTTTTATCCGTGGCTTTGCTCTTGACTTTCATCCATCATTTTACACCTTTATAGGTGAATTCTTCAAAAGCCAATAAACATATTAATTTTTGTTTTGAACTAAAAGCTTAAATCTAATATTTCACACATTAATATTTAGACATTTGTAAACTAACGAAATTCTATACAAACTTTCGATCCCCGTTTTACCCCTATAGAGGTTGAGTTATCAAAATTTCTTTTTTATTGTTCACTTACCCTATATAAAGAACCTACCTGCAAAATTTCAAAAATTCTAGATTCAGTGATTTTAGCTATGCGTTGATGTATGGGTCAATCAGTCAGTCAGAATCGAAAAATATTAATATAGTACGGGACTAATTACCGCAGAGTAAACCTTCTGTTCAATGAGACAGCGATATACATACGTATCAAGTACAGTCGAACAGAGAACCTCCTTTTTTAAATCCTCCTTTGTTAAAAATATAAAATTCAACAACAATATAAAAAAGTAAATCTGACCATCTTTAACTATCGAACTATTCACAAATACTTTCTCTGCTTATCCGTGACAACTTCATAGTTATCATGTTATGAAGGTAATATGTAAATACCATTTTTTATCTATCTATTAATATTTCTAATTATAAGCTAGCATTTACTTGTTTGCTAGCTATAATAAATCAGTAAGAATAGGATTGAAAGACATTAACAAGTTTTTACTTAAATTGCCAGTGTTCTGTCGCCCAAAAGTTAAAAACGCTAAGAAATAAGTTTTTATTCGTGACAATTTCTTAAACAATCGTACAATAAGTCCCTAAGTAAGTTAGTTTCCAATTTAGATTTCTAATAAAATGAAAGGATATCTTTAAGAATTTAATATTAAGTATATTTACTTTGCCTTTTTTAATAATGTAACTAAATATTTAACTCTTTATCGTAATATTGATAATGGGTATCATGTTATTTCCTTGCATAGATATTAATCTATAGATATTCTAATCATCATTATATTGATGATATACATCAAATAGACAATTAGATTGTTGCGCATTTTGCGAATGAACAGACGTTTTTATCTTATTGTATCCTAATTCAATTGTTATACTGTGCATGTGTTTTTATTAAATTCGTAGATTTTAAAGTCATTTATAAAGCAAAGTGTATGCGTACAGTAAGAAACTTGGACACTGTTAGTGAATAATTTGAGTACTTGTTTTCATTTGATTTACGCAATGCTTTTGTGGATGTTTGTATTTCAAGCCTCTCCTAATTTAGTTTAGGTCAAGATGGCCTACGTGAAGAGTATACACTTTTTTGCAATATCAATATTATTGATAATATGTAAAGGAATAAAAGCCCAACAAGGTAGATGTAAACTATTTTTTAGTTGAATCTAGAAGACTTAAGGCATATACAACAACTACAATAATAAAACTGTTGTAAAATTACAGATTGCTTATTATTACAAGGCATTGATGTATGGTACGAGCCCATAGTTGTAAACATCAAAGATATCGATAGAGGGGAAGTTTATCAAAATGTCGCCACCTCTGCTGTTACAGGTTACTGTTTGTCATAATATCTAATATTTATGTCATATTCAGAATATATAATAAATGTTTATTGATAGTTGTACATTATAACTGGATATTCATGCATTCTTAATGAAGATACGCTCAGCCTACTCATATATTGGATTGATGGATACACAATTAATGATATTTTAAAAATGGCATTGGCATTAAAAATTTTACAGAAGAATAAAATTACCATTTAATTACAATTACTTAATAATACTAGTTACAATAGGTATAATTTTATTAAATTTTGAATACCTAAAAATGACAATATGCGACGATTTCGTTCAAATTAAAAGAATTATTATTATTTCAACACTTATTTTCAGATTATCAGATTGGTATTTTTTTTTCTAATAATTAAACGTAAACCTAAGTCAATAACATATTGGCTTAGGTTTACGTTTCTGAAGCAAATAAAAATATATTAGCCTCAATTTGCATTTTTTAAGCGATTTCCTAAGTAAGGTGATTCTTAATTTATCGTATTTTTTTTTTGAGACTTACAATTAGGTTACATTTTAATTTTAAGACAAATTATTGATAGCTTGCTATAATTTTTTTTTTGCGGAGCAAAAATTATTGTGAACAAATAATAAAGTAATATATAAAACTGTAATATTTACAAGTCTAATCCTAAGAAACATGTCGTTGTACTCGTAGCATATCTATGAAACAAAATTATTGTGAAAGAATTTGTTATTTACTTATTTTCTATTGGTTAATTTTGCAATATTGGATACAATAATAAAAATAGAAACAGTTGAAAGTAATGAAATAAAATCAACCATAAATTCAAATAAAAGATGTACATTTTCATTAAGTTTGCCTTTAAATTATGAACATTTGCTTCAAATCAGTACTCCAAATCGATTTCCTTAAAGAATCATTACTCATGTTCAAGAGCACTGACGGAATTCAATCGATCTGATAATAAATTTATGTTCGATAATAATTATCTTAAATGAAATATTGTAATGTAACTCATAAATAATAATTAAACTGCTACGAAACTGTTTCTATAGTTAATAACTTCAATATCAAACAAATTACCATTTTTTTTTATTTTAACTGTTTGTATGTCTTGTTTTACATGCATCACGGAAAAGTGTTCAACAAATTTTGACATTACATTTTGTGAGTAAATATTATTATACTGAGTTACAATACAATATAATAACTACGGGAAAATACCACGGAAAAATGTAAAAAAAAAATCGATCGAAAATTACGCAGAATTTTTCAAATTAAATTTATCAAACATTGCTTAATTTACTACAAAAGTCCACACAAACGAAGTCACGACCCTATAAATAACTTATACATATACATTTTATTATGGTACTCCATTATTTATTTATTGAGTCAAAATGTAACAACTCTATGGTATATAAATATATAATAATATCTAAAAGGTAACTTAAAACAATTTAAACCAAGAGGATTTGCTGTGTAATATTAAAATAAGAATACTATATAATGATATACTATAATTATATGCCATAATATACTCGTAGCAGTCTTTTTATAAAATTAAAACTTATAAAGGTTTTATCAAAGCATTATATTAAATTAACTGGCTTAAGCCCTGCTTAAGAATCTTTGGAATGAATCTTTTGTTGCGGACCATAGCACCATTGTGAACAGATATCTGTCCAATACACAACCTAAAAGCATAGTAATTGATTTTTAGCTGCAGAGCTCGACAAATAAAGTGTATCTGATTTAAATAATGCCAATCTCAAATTGTTGGAAACTGCCAAGACACAGGCATATTTCTTTACATCAAAGAGGATATGAAATTTCACGTCTACTTTTCGAAATATACCTATTTTGGTTTCTGACTCCGTGGTATAAATTTATAATCCAATCTGAATTTTAAACAGTGTCAGCTTTACTTTTATGTGGGCTATTCCCTATAATACCTGTTCGTGAAGAGAATTTCGCTTTATAATTTCTTATTACTAGCATCTGTATTAATTCTTTCAAGTCTAGTGAATAGACATTAGGTATTTGAATTTAATTTGAACAATGTGTAAGATTATAGCCAAACTAGATTATTCGTATATAAATAGAGCATCGAGTATCAAAAACAGATTAAGTTAGCAAAATTATCGTTTGTTTATATATGTACATTTAAATATATAGGTTACAGTATATATTTACATATTTATTTTTTGCTGACTTTATATTTTGACACATTTTTTTTAATCAAAACATACCAAAAAAATTTTTTTAATTGTTGCAAGTGGTTTGAATTTTTCTTTTTATCAGATCTATAATTAAAATTGTGGACTATTTTATCTGATATAATGTACATATATACAAATTAATAGAAATGTATTAATTAAAATATCGATCATTTTCAATTATTTAAAAGTGAAAATTAAGTCTAGACTCGGATATAAATTAAAATAATAAGTATAAAGAACATCATTATAAATCATTATGTAGTTTATCCTGTTATTTCAAATATATTCGTAATAATTTTGTATAGTTTCGATTTTTAAATTTAACCTGCAAATACACATTTCTGCCACATACTAAGTAAAACAGAACATTATGGTATCCCTACTTACACATACATAGATAAAAAGTTGCCCTATTTTTGGCAAAGCATTTTTATGGAAACACTCCATCTAAGAGCCAAACCCATTTTGGCTATAAAATGCCATAGCTACGACATGTACACGTATAGATAGCCTAAAACGTTGACTTCTTGTTTAAAATAATGACTTGAACGTTCTTCCTTTGAATATATTTACTATCTAGACATTTATTTATTCCAGAAATTACAAATATTTTCCATGAAGGACCTAATAATATTTACTTTAGTGGTTCAATCAGTAGTTCAATATTCTCCTTAAGCACAACTTCTATATTTGAAGAATACGAAGAGTATGAAACGGCACAATCGATATCTATACAGGTACAATACAAGTGTACAAATGGTCTTGTCGGTTCTCAGGTAAATATTTTTCAAATTTGGTTTTGATACTAGATCAATAAGCTTTTTAAATATTTGCACAAATGAGGTACCTACTCTAAGCAGCTCTATCAGATGTCGATTTAACGAGATAATTACGTAGAACAGAGTGGGATTAGGGTCTAGCTTAGGTCTTAATTTGATATTATATGGCACTATCTAATATATCGATAATGATGTTTATTTATTTATTTGTAGTATTTATGATAAATCGTTCATATAATATTCCTTATAAGCTAATTTTTTTATGCAACTTACAATGGCAAACAAGCTGACGGCCCACCTGATGGAAAGTGGTAACCGTCGCCTGTAGACATGAGCAGTATCATGGACATAACAGAGTATACTGTTTCGCCCATGACACCCCCCATGCATTGCCATTCTTGAGGACTAAGGTGATATTTTTCTGTACCTTGTAAATTAACTGCCACATCTCACCCTTCAAACCGAAACAAAGCCATGCAAACACAATTGCTTCACGGTAAAAACACGAATGGGACAGAAGGCCATACAAACGAATTTTATACAAAATCTCTGTGGAAAATCAAAATATAATTGCCTCTGTTTGCCAAATTTTTTATTTTTATTATAATATTTTTTTATTTCAGTTGTTCACAATAAATATACAGGATACAAATAATAATAGTCCTCAGTTTCGACCTGCTGACATATTTGAATTCACAATTCCAACGCCTTTACTACCTGGATACGTTATTGGAGCTTGCGATTCGATAGTTGTGAGAGATATAGATCTTACAACGAAGAGAATTGATTTCGGTCTAACTGGCAGTGAAGACTTTGAAATTATATACGACGAAGTATCATCAACAGAACCAAAAGAATTCAAAGCTATTTTGAGGACTACGACATTTATTAGAACTCTACCAGAATCTACCGAACTAATCATAAGCGCCACGGTAAGTATTATTATTTTCGTAATAATGATAACGATATCTTCATATTATCCCTTGTCAGAACTCGTAGAAGGAACTTCTATTTATGACGTTCTTATTAGTATGCTTCACGTCATTAACCATTATGAAGAATGTATAATATAGGGTATAATTTTATGTTTATTATTCTAAATAGAAATGAATTATTAGTCTTTGTTCCAAATATATGTAGATGAATTTTGTTAATTAATATTTATTAATAAAATTTAAAGTCATTACATTAATAATAACAATAATGTCTTTATTAAGTAATCAATTAATTTAGTAAGACATCTAACTACTAGACATCGAACTAAACCGAATCTGTATGATAGTTAAATAACTTTCTTTGATTTAAATATTTACAAAAGATATCACAATTTTGAATATAAACACACTTAAATTTGCAATGTTTAAAATACTTTTGGTGCAACATAGTTAAATGTGGGTAGCATCGTATTACCTTTCTTATAGTTAAATTAGAGTACAAACTTAATATGTTGTAAAATTGACTAATCATCTTAGCAACCACATAAAGTGTTACATTGATTACTTAAACTAGAAAATTAATAAGATTTGATCATGTTACTTTAATTTACCGATGCTTACCATTTTTTTACTAAAACTTATCATCACGATAACTACTTACGAGTATATGATATAATATAATATTTATAATAAAATTTGTTTCTTTCACCATCTTACTGCGATGCACACATGGTCTTAGTTTTATTCCTGATTATTAATTTTCTTTTTATGCGATGTCCGATTTATTTCTGTTTTATTATGTTTTAGCTCTACCCCGCGACTTCACCCGCGTGAGTGTATACATAAAGTATTCTACACGTTAAATTACAATATAATTTAACCATGCACCAAATTTCATTCAAACCGTTCAATAGTTGCATGAAAGAGCAACAAACATCTATTCATTCGTCCTTACAAACTTTCGCATTAATAATATAAATAGGATATGCGAACGATACAAATATATCATTATGTCTATTATTGTTACTTGACACTTAACAAGTAACAAATATACAGTTATACGATTTTTTTTAGGACGTCGACGAAACTGGGGATCCACCTAGAACTTCTTATGCTACAGTTCTTATCTATAGTCATAATGATGTGACATGGCCTGAAGAGCCAGTATTTACAGAAGCATTTTACCCCGCCAGATATACCAGAGAAAATGAGCTAATATTAGAAAAAGTTATCTCATTACAGCAAGGCTATCACGAAGAAGTCGAATTCAGTTTAGAGGAAGGTAGATATATCTCACGTTATGAATAAACAGTACTTACTAAGCAAAAAGTAATTTAAAAAAAAAATAGAACTTGAAGTTTCTTTACTTTCTAAGTCACTTTATATACCTTTATAATTTAATATAATTTACCTTTATACTAAGTATGACACAAATCTTAAAATTAATATAATAATATGTAACTTAATATAACGTAAAACGTTTTCATAATTCGTATGAACACATTAATACTTAATGAAATATAAAGATTTACAAATGATTACCGAGTATATATACACTTATATATATACACATGTACGTCTAATTTATTTATGTGTAAATCTTATTCTAGATCTTCTTAATATCAATTAATTTTACTCATTTAGCATTATATAAGTACCTAATGTAAGTTAATGAGGGATCTCTAGTCACTCATTTAGCCACAACATATTTACGAAAGTAAGTCTTTCAAGTGCAAAGACATTCTTGTAGACAGAAATAAAAATACACAAATTTAAAACAATTATAAAAATTATTAAGTAAAAGTAATTTATGTTCACAGAATACAGTAAATATTTCAGTCTTATCAGAGATGGAAATAAAGTATCATTTGAAGTTATTTCTCCGCTATCAAACGAAATTTTAACACAGCGTCAAATATATATCATAGTACGAGCTCATCGGGAATTTACTAGCGGAGCTTCAGCTACCGTAATTGTACAATTGCCTGAAGGTAAATATTCGACGACAGCATTAATAATCCTACTGCATTATTAGGACGCCTTAAACCACATTCACCATCCGGCGATATTGAGGTAAAATTAAATATAATAATATAAAAAAATTGGACTGATTTGCTGTTTGTATACGAAGACTAGGGATGAAAAATAAAAATTATGGGTTGTACTTTTATTATTTGTCTGTTACAACATTTAAAAGTAATTGGAACAAATCCTCGATATTTAAAAACCACATACAACGTTAAATTGTTATATTTTTAATTAACTCGTATTTGTTTTCAGAAATCGGTCTACAATTTGAACAAATATATTACGAAGGTTTCATCATCGATAATACGCTACAAATTGCACACCTTATATTAACACAAGGTTATGAAAATCACATAGTAACACTTGACGTCTCTAATGGTAATTAAAATTAAATTCTAAATTTTATTGCAATGATGAAATTGGTAGTTATAATTTTTTTTAACCTTTTGAGTTTAACGACTCAATATAAGTTTTTCTTTCACCCACAAATCAGAAAAGAAATATAGGATAAAGCTGAAAGTAAAATGAATAGTAAAATCTTATTACACATTACAAAGATCATTTTGTAATTTAAATATTGTATATTTACACAACTATCAATGCGTCTTATAATATAATAGAATTAGAATGATTAATTTCATTCATTTTCTTCTATTGGTAAAAACTGTTCTATTATCTTACAGATAACTTCCAAGCAACCATTGATGAAAATCGTATAACATTGACAATGACGCCATTAGCTGATAATGTCCTCAATGAAAATACCTTTTTAAACTTGCAAGTGACAGCTTCTACTGAACGCAGTTCAGCTACGGCTGTTGTAACTCTAGAAATAATTAAGGACGATACTACAACTCCTCTGTTCGAGAAAGCACTTTACGAGGGAACCTACGACCCTTCTGCAAGCGACCTGACTATTGAACCAATAGAACTAGTGCAAGGTTATGATGACTCTGTGGATATCACACTTAATGGAGGTAGGTAATTTATTACTTATTAAATAATATTGTAATTTATTAATCTGACACCCTTACTTTTTCATTCTGTTTGTTGGTATTACCACGTATATAATGTAAAATTAAATTTATTTTTCTTTTAATAAAAAGTGTTTAAGATTTAAATCTATTTTATAAGATCTTTCATAGGGAGGGTAGAGAAAAAATAGACTACCTATGCTTAATATAGGTAGTACTTATTGTCAATTTACTAGTATTATAATCCATACCTAAATCCATAGGTTTTAAGAACTCATCTTTCTTTTTGTCTAGCCTTTAATGATTGAAAACATTTCCTTTTATCAAAGATGTACCTTTAATTTACAAAAAATAATTTAAGTAAATTCATTAGTATCAATTGTGCATTAATTAATTTTTTTCAATTCTTAGTTTATGCGAACTACTTTCAATTACAAAGAGATGGACCAGTATCTATATTGACCGTGGAGAGCTTGCCAGCAGAAGTGCTCGCTGAACAAAGTGTATCGCTTGTAATAACCGCAACTAAACCCAGGACTATCGGCGCCACGGCCGTCGTGCAGATCATATTACCAACAGGTAACTCTATTATATATATTATGTATTGTGTCTTTGTTATATTCATAATATAACAATATTATGAATACAACAAAGACATTACACACATATATATATATATATATATATATATATATATATATATATATATACAGATCTATTAGTAAATAAATAAATGTAAACTAAGACATTTTATTGTTCTTATAAAGAAAAAAGAAAAATCATATTTGACTAGCTCATCATCATTGAGCCAAAACTGATAACTATATTTATAAAAATAAAATTGCGGAATAGGTTCCTTATATATATAATACAATAAACGAGTGATGAGAAAATCTTTAAATGTTCATCTTGTGAAGAGATAAAGAATAATTCAGAAGTTTGTATTGAATTCGAAAGTCAGTTAAAATAATTATAATACATAGATAGATAATTAATTTATTTGCATTGCACACAAATCACAACAGATGTAGATATACATACACAAAAAAACGAGATAAAAGAATATATATACAAAAAATACATAAAAGATATATGCGATTCAGATAAATGGGTAAGTCATCTCCTAAGGGGATGAAATCGGGAATGGAGTCATCAACTGAACCGATTATAATACTCTTTTAAAATTTGAAAGCTTCAGTATCTTTGAGTAATATTTTTTATACGACGTATAAAAAATATTACGTAGCTGACAACCCATCCAATAGAAAGTAATCGTCGCCTATCTACAAAAACAACACCATGAATATTACAAAACATACTGTGACGTCCAATATAGGCCATATTTTTCCCCACGAATATATTTATCCTATGGTAACCAGTTCACGTGAATGAAATTACGATAAATAATTAATTAATATTTACACTTATTACAGATATCAATCTGGAATTCGAGCGAGCTTTTTACGAAGGTGTTGTAGTGGACAATACACTTCTAATTACTGAGCTTATTTTAACAAAGGGATATGAAGGACATGTAGTGTCAGTCGATGTCTCTGATGGTAATGCCATTTAATTATTGATTATTTAAGCAAAATTACTTGATATAATACAATGGGCTGCTTAAAAAAATTTTTGACACTGATTAGTTATATTTACAACGTACTAGTTGACTCAACAGGTGTCATTTTGTCAAAAGTTATTAACAGTATGGAAAAAAAGAATGATGCTTTTACATTTTAACATTTATATTAATTAAAATTTTCTTTTAATAACAACCTTGCTTGGAATCCAACAAATATTTGAAAAATAAAAATAATTGGTACAACCATTTTCGAATTTTGCTCTTAGTAAAACATTAAGCGATTCATTTTTATTCATACAGATTATTTATAGTTTTATAATTTAAAAGAAAAACGAATCACAATAGTAGAATATCAAAGTAAAAATATCTTACAGAATACTTTACCGTAACCATTCAAGAAAATCGTATAACGCTGAATATGGCACCATTGCCTGACAGCGTCATCGAAGAAAATACCTTTTTAAACTTGCAAGTGACAGCTTTTACTGAACGCAGTTCAGCTACGGCTGTTGTAACTCTAGAAATAATTAAGGACGATACTACAACTCCTCTGTTCGAGAAAGCACTTTACGAGGGAACCTACGACCCTTCTGTAAGCGACTTGACTATTGAACCAATAGAACTAGTGCAAGGCTATGATGACTCTGTAGATATCACACTTGATGGAGGTAGGTTATTTATTACTTATTTAATATAACATTGTAATTTAATAATCTGACACCCTTACTTTTCCATTCCGTTTGTCGGTATTACCTCGTGTATAATGTAAAATTAAATATTTATTTCTTTTACATTTTAAAAAGTGGCCATTAAGGCTGCACACGCGACGGAAGCTTAAAAATGGAGTAACTTCTCCCGTTTTCCTAACATTTCTCTTCACTGTTCTGCTCCAATTGATCGTAGCGTGATGAAAAGTATACTATAACCTGTCCAAGAGTATGAAGAATAATTGTACCAAGTTTCGTTAAAATCCGTCGAGTAGTTTTTGTTTCTATAACGAACATACAGACAGACAGAAAGACAGACACAAATTTTACTGATTGCATTTTTGGCATCAGTATCGATTACTAATCATCCTCTGATAGTTATTTTTGAAATATATTTCATGTACAGAATTGACCTCTCTACAGATTTATTATAAGTATAGATAATTGATTTATGTTTGAGATTTAAATCTATACTATAAGATCTTTCATAGGGAGGGTAGAGAAAAAATAGACTACCTATGCTTAATATAGGTAGTACTTATTGTCAATTTACTATTATTATAATCCATACCTAAATCCATTGGTTTTAAGAACTCATCTTTCTTTTTGTCTAGCCTTTAATGATTGAAAATATTACCTTTTATCAAAGATGTACCTTTAATTTACACAAATAAATTTAAGTACATTCATTAGTATCAATTGTGCATTAATTCAATTTTTTCAATTCTTAGTTAATGCGAACTACTTTCAATTACAAAGAGATGGACCAGTATCTATATTGACCGTGGAGAGCTTGCCAGCAGAAGTGCTCGCTGAACAAAGTATATCGCTTGTAATAACCGCAACTAAACCCAGGACTATCGGCGCCACGGCCGTCGTGCAGATCATATTACCACCAGGTTACTTATTTATATATTCTATTATCCTAGCTGTTCCAACAAACGACGTTTTGCAACACAACGATCGCAACCTACCGGATCCGTTTGTTTGTATCGGGATAAAAACTTTTTCTATCTCCCAAGTTGGAGCAAACATACACATATATACATAATATCATTAAAATCGGTTGAGCGATTTCTGAGATTAGCATGAATGAATATAGTGAAAAGGGAAAGATACTGAAAGTCGAAATAGAACAGTTAATCGGTTCTCTCTTTCCGTAGTCATTTTATAATCTCTTAAGTCGGAACATACAATACACATTTAAAATCTATTAAACGCTTTCGGATCGAACATCGTGACACGGGATTTTTATATATTAAGATTTTTTATCAATAAATTAATGTATTCTGAGAATAGCGAACCACACTTTTCTTAAAACTAAAAAGTAAAATAAATATGCTATAATAGTAAATTTAAACATAACTGAATTAAACATACACGCCTATCGTTTATTTATTAATATAGCCCTCGACACTATTTTTTTATTTTTTTTTTCCCACTTTTTGTTAATATTCCTTCATATAAATATTATTTATTCAGAAATGGTTTTTTAACACTCCCCATTACAGCAAGGCTATTAACATTTGAAGCACCTACATATAAAGGAACTTACGAGAATGGGATATTGAAACATGATACCATCATACTAAATGTTGGTTATGATGATGACGTCATTTTCAAAATTATAAGTGGTAAGTGATATTTTTCATAATGATTATTATCTTTCATGACGTGCAAAGGTAAATAGAATTCTGAGACGTTCATTCATTCATTATTTCACGAATTCACTCTCTAAACCTCTCCCTGATATACAAATTTATATTTGATATCACAACGAAATCTTTGAAAACTCTGAAAAAAAATTCAAAAGTCGTTTGCTTGGGTACCTCTGTCCCATTCGTGTTTCAACCGTGAAGCAATTATTTTTACATGCCTGTTTCGGTTTGAAGGGTGGGATATGGCAGTGAATTTACAGGGTACAGAAAAATAACACCTTAATCCTCAGGAATGGCAATGCATGGGGAGTATCATGGGCGAAACAGTATACTCTGTTATGTCCATGGTACTGCTCATGTCTACAGGCGACGGTTACCACTTGCCGTCAGGTGGGCCGTCAGCTTGTTTGCCATTGCTAAGTCGTATAAAAAAAAATCTTTACTTCCAGAACTAAAATGAACTAAATTTAATAGATTTAAGTTAAAATTATTATAAACTGTGAAAATATTAAATTAAAATATTAGTTTTAAAGAAAGGATTAGAGAATGGCGCATCAGAATTAAGCTCAATATATTTATAATTCGAATAAAATAGTATATATAAGTGGATGTACTTCAAAAATTAATAACCTTTTTTGATAAATTAATTTAATGTCACTTTATTGAATTGCAAACATTTGATAAATTAGATTATATTTATATACTGTATACTTACTAGTATTTAACAAAATGTGGATAGTATCACCCAAAGTGGTCCCCAAGCTTCTAAAAGGAGGTCACAGAAGGTCTTCTTTAATAGATGACAATGGAGTGGTATCCGCCTGCGCTGACGGTATACCCTGGCGAGGTATAAATAAGAGATGATAGGTGAGATTGAAAAGGCAGGTCAGTTAGCCCAACGTGAGGAATTTACCTGGAATTCAATACTATGGTTTTCAGGAGGGGCCATGTAAGGGTCGACCTAATAGGGTATATTGATAGCAACGGGACTGGAAGTCCGCAAACGCGCAAACCTTGTCGCGAAATATCGTAAACTCCTAAAAAACAACGTTCAAAAAAATATTTATAACAAGAAAATGTTCATTAAAGAACATTTATTATAGGTAGGTAGGTTTGTGTTACAAATTAACAAAAAATAAAATAATAAAAAGCTTGCAGATTAGGAACCACGGAGGATAGGTATTGGCAAAATATTTTTATTACTAAAGAGATCGTTCTATAAATTTTTTTTAAAAATACTGTTGTATACATACTAAATATTTTCAAATTTCTTTTAGATTTTGATAGCAGTTTTGAAGTAACGAATAATGGAAACGAAGTAACGATATTGTCATTGGAAGCGCTTCCTGACAATGTTATTTCAGAAAATAATTTCATATCGATAATCCTAAGTGCCTCTGCTATTAATGCTGAAACCACTACAACAGCATTATTGATTGAAATAATAAAAGATGACGTCACCGCTCCTGTATTTAATGAACATATTTATTATGCTGCTTATTCAGATAATGGAATCGATTTAAAAAACATACACTTATCGCAAGGATATGATTCCACGGTATCATTTGATTTGACTGGTGGTAAGATATATTTTAGTTTTTCAAAAAAAAAGTTTTATTACATTGCTGATTCAAATAAATATATATATCTGATAGGCATTAATGGAAATAGGAGTTCAAAAATATTGTTAATTATTGTAAAGTGTTTCGGTTGATCATTACAACATTACAGTCGTAGCAGGAATAGACTATTCAATGCTTATTTTTTTTTTTATTTTCAGTACATTCACAATATTTTAGCTTGACACAATTAGAAAATAATGTAGCAATATCTTTGACAAATCCAATCCCGACAGAAGTGATTTTTAGTGAGAAAAGATTGATTTTCAACATTGTAGCCGAAAAACCCTCAACTGTCGGGGCAAATGCAGCTATAACAGTTACTTTCCCAGCGGGTAAGTAAATAAACAAATAAATAAATTGTCATAATATTAGCTTAAAAATCCGTAAGTAGACATAAAAATGTCCCAACCGTGTTAACATAGTATTCTTGATTGAAACAAATTCAAGTAGGTATTAGATTAATGTCGCTATAATTAGTAATACGAATTGTCAAAAATTACTCATAAAGGTGAAAGTAATTTAGATTTTTTTTTTTAATTGAAAACCATGTGTGCTCTAAAATTGTAGTTATTACAATATTGCATACAATAATGTAAGTAACATAAATGTATTAATATATATTTCTATAATTACTTATTTATTTATAATATTTAAAATTCCAGAACTTACCGATCCCACTGTCATGAAATTTTTACGAAATTCCTATATTGGATCCATAGAAGATGATCAATTATCCTTGGAAGATATCAGTCTCATTAAAGATCACACAGAAGATACCGAATATAGTGTATCTGGAGGTAATATTTTTAAATTTATTTTCTCTTCACAATTCATCACAGTAAAATACAATGAAACATGCTTAAATCAATCAAATTACAAATATAATTGTACTATTAAATTCATAATAAACATATTTTTTCAAGATTCACAGAAAGCTTTAATGTATACATTATTACTGTTTATTGTGTACTCGTATTGGTTCATCCAATATAACCTTATTTTTAAATTTGCTAGAAAAAAGATTTTCTTAAAATACTCTTATATAATATTAATTGAGAAGGTTCGTGTAACATTTCACGTTCCAATTAAAAATGAGAAAATTTTGATTCATTGTTCATTTTATTTTCAGAATTGAGTAGTTACTTCTCGTTGTTAGAAAGTGACTCCATTATTACCGTAATACTGAATGGCCCCATCCCTGAAGAATCGATACCCGCCAACCGGATCGTAGTACTTGAGATATACGCAACCGCGGAAAATGCCTTACCCGCAGTGGCAACGATAATACTAGAAGTCGTGTCTGATGACGAGTCTATTCCCACTCAATTGGTATTTGCAGAAACTTACTATGTCGGATCTTACACCATAGACACTGGTCTCGAACTGCAAAACTCCATATCTCTGTCCGAAGGCTACGACGAAGACGTCGAATTCGATCTGGAAGGAGGTACGTCATTAGTTTTCCAAACGTGCACATTTCTGTTAAATCACAACAATTTCATAAGATTTGAATAACCTTATTCCGAATCTGTATATATATACATATCTATTTTTCAGACGATTCACAATATTTCGCGATAAGTAGAGATGAGAATTCCATCACATTGAATGTGATCAACACGATACCGCCTGCCGTCTTAGAAAACAATAATCAGCTGCTGTTTGTCATCCGCGCTCAAAAACCTGGAAGCACAACTGCAAGAGCAAGTGTCATAATTTTACTGCCCGACGGTACTTATTTATCTCAAATATCTTTATAAGTAAACCCTAAACACAATATTATAACTAACTTTTAATCAGTTCGGCGTTCAAATGACGACACACAGTATACAATTACGAGTATATATCAGTTTCTAAAGCCTCATGCACTCAGACTATACCCATAACTCGAAAACTTTGTAATATAATAAAAAAATAATTATAGCGTAAAATGAATCTCTGCAGTATCCTTTGACAGGAATGTTTTATCAGCAAAACTGTAGGTTTCTACCAACACAACAAGTCATTTAGACAATAAATGAAAAAAAATAGGGTTATTATATTAAAATGATACTAAATTGCTATACATTTCGTAGCATTCTTTATTTGTATTATGATTGTAAGTTTCAATATATATGTATGTGTGTATATTGTACAAATCTACACAGTCACGTTTAATCGCACTGATACGTAATTAGTATATTATATACCACATTACATTACAAATTAAACATATTAATCTACTTTATTGTTATTACCATAATTAAAAAAAAAAAACTTATTTTAATAATGTTACAGAATTTAAAGATGGCAACTTACTTGGATTCGAGCAAAATAATTACGTCGGTTCTATCGAACACAGTACGATTGATTTAGTACCAATAAAACTGGCCGGCGAATACTTTGCAGAAGTGTCCTTCGCCATACATGGAGGTAAACAGCCAATTTACAAACGGGGTGTCGTGAAACTCCTTATCTTCAATTTCATATAATGTATACATTATTGTGTAATTTCGTTCTAACATTTTATTTTCAGAATTGAGTAGTTACTTCTCGTTGTTAGAAAGTGACTCCATTATTACCGTAATACTGAATGGCCCCATCCCTGAAGAATCGATACCCGCCAACCGGATCGTAGTACTTGAGATATACGCAACCGCGGAAAATGCCTTACCCGCAGTGGCAACGATAATACTAGAAGTCGTGTCTGATGACGAGTCTATTCCCACTCAATTGGTGTTTGCAGAAACTTACTATGTCGGATCTTACACCATAGACACCGGTCTCGAACTGCAAAACTCCATATCTCTGTCCGAAGGCTACGACGAAGACGTCGAATTCGATCTGAAAGGAGGTACGTCATTAGTTTTCCAAACGTGCACATTTCTGTTAAATCACAACAATTTCATAAGATTTGAATAACCTTATTCCAAATCTGTATATACAGTCGCGTCGGAAACTATTTGCGCGTTGTAAAATGAACAAGAAATTTTATTTTAATTGCAATTAGAGATAACTAAAAAGGAAAATTATGCACAGTCTCGAAGATTCATGTGTTTATAAGAAAATAGACACATGTGGGTTATAAATTATTGCTTGTAATAAACAAAATTAAATATTAATCATAATTAGTTAATTCGGAAAGTATTTGCACCAAAAGTTTTTCGTGTTTAAATTGTATATGTTACTAAAAAATAAGTGTGTTTTGAATGTTTATGTTTAGATTGACTTTACATCTCCTAAAATTTTAATTAATTAATTATTATAATATTAATATTCTTATCAGAATGCCTAAAAAAATAGAATTAACGGTTCAAGAGTGTGAAATAACAATTAATATGAAAAATAATGGAATAAAAATTTCTGAGATTGCTGAAAACATGAATATTCCACTAAGAACAATTCAAGATACGATTAAAAAAAATTCTGAACGAAATTCAACAAACTCTTTGCCTCGAAGTAGCCGTAAGCGCAAAACAGGTCCCAGAACATACGAACGAATCGTTTGACTAGTGAAGGAGAATCTAAAGATAAGAGCTACAGAAATAAAGGAAACTTTAAATCTCGATCTGGTTATAATACAAATTAAGTTCAGGATTGTTGAAGCTGGCCGTATTGCCACACGAAAGCTATTTATTAGCAAAATAAACCGAAAGGCGAGATACGCAATTGCCATCGAACACCAAGATAAACCATTGGACTTTTGAAAAGCGATAGTTTGGTCTGATAAGTTGAAATTTGATTGTATTGGATTAAAACGACGACAATATCTGTGGCGAAAACCAAATTCAATGCTAGAATCGAAAAATATTGTGGGCATCGTTAAGCACGGCGGTGGATCAGTACTTGTATGGGGATATTTTTCATATAACGGTGTTGAAAATCTTCAGATTATTAAGGGCAAAATGACCGCAGACGCTTATATTAATATATTTGAAGATAATTTGAATTCATGATAAAATGAATGTTGATAAAATGAATTTAAATTATGACTGGAATTTTTAACAAGACAACGATCCTAAGCATAAGGCTAAAAAAACTATGTTTTGGTTCGAATAAAAATAATTTAAACTACTGACTTGGCCAGCTTAAAGCTCTCATTTAAATCCCATAGAGCATCTATGGGATCATTTGCATGAAAATGTAAAGAAATCGGACCGATAAACAATTAAAAATTTTATAAATCGCTTTGAACAAGAGTGGCATAATCACATCGCAACTAAACACGGCCCTACGAAATACTAGAAATAATTTATTATTAATTAAAAACAATTTAAAATTAAATATTAAGTCTGCGCAAAATAATTTCCGACTGCATGGATTTGAGAATATTTTGAATATTTTTTAATTTATAAATCATTTTGATTTGCAAATACATTATCTGAATGATTAACAATATATTTCACTGTTTTCTTAAATATCTTGAATAATTTGAATCATATTTAACACACAAATTCATTAAAATGTTATAAAATTTTGCGCGCAAATAGTTTTCGACGCGACTGAATATATACATATCTATTTTTCAGACGATTCACAATATTTCGCGATAAGTAGAGATGGGAATTCCATCACATTGAATGTGATCAACACGATACCGCCTGCCGTCTTAGAAAACAATAATCAGCTGCTGTTTGTCATCCGCGCTCAAAAACCTGGAAGCACAACTGCAAGAGCAAGTGTCATAATTTTACTGCCCGACGGTACTTTATTATCTCAAATATCTTTATAAGTAAACCCTAAACACAATATTATAACTAACTTTTAATCAGTTCGGCGTTCAAATGACGACAGACTTTGTAATATAATAAAAAAAAAATTATAGCATGAAATAAAACTCGGCAGTATCCTTTGACAGAGATGTTTTATTAGCAAAACTATATGTTTCCACCAACACAACAAGTCATTTAGACAAATAAAGGAAAAAAAAATAGGGTTATTATATTTAACATGATACTAAATAGCTGTACTTTTCGTAGCATTCTTTATTTGTATTACTATTGTAAGTTTAAATATATATGTATGTGTGTATATTGTACGAATCTACACAGACACGTTTAATCGCACTGATATGTAATTAGTATATTATATACCACATTGCATTACAAATTGAACACATTAATCTCCTTTATTGTTATTACCATAATTAAAAAAAAAAAAAACTTATTTTAATAATGTTACAGAGTTTAAAGATGGCAACTTACTTGGATTCGAGCAAACTAATTACGTCGGTTCTATCGAACACAGTACGATTGATTTAGTACCAATAAAACTGGCCGGCGAATACTTTGCAGAAGTGTCCTTCACCATACATGGAGGTAAACAGCCAATTTACAAACGACGTGTCGTGAAACTCCTTATGTTCAATTTCATATAATGTGTACATTATTGTGTAATTTCGTTCTAACATTTCATTTTCAGAATTGAGTAGTTACTTCTCGTTGTTAGAAAGTGACTCCATTATTACCGTAATACTGAATGGCCCCATCCCTGAAGAATCGATACCCACCAACCGGATCGTAGTACTTGAGATATACGCAACCGCGGAAAATGCCTTACCCGCAGTGGCAACGATAATACTAGAAGTCGTGTCTGATGACGAGTCTATTCCCACTCAATTGGTATTTGCAGAAACTTACTATGTCGGATCTTACACCATAGACACTGGTCTCGAACTGCAAAACTCCATATCTCTGTCCGAAGGCTACGACGAAGACGTCGAATTCGATCTGGAAGGAGGTACGTCATTAGTTTTCCAAACGTGCACATTTCTGTTAAATCACAACAATTTCATAAGATTTGAATAACCTTATTCCGAATCTGTATATATATACATATCTATTTTTCAGACGATTCACAATATTTCGCGATAAGTAGAGATGAGAATTCCATCACATTGAATGTGATCAACACGATACCGCCTGCCGTCTTAGAAAACAATAATCAGCTGCTGTTTGTCATCCGCGCTCAAAAACCTGGAAGCACAACTGCAAGAGCAAGTGTCATAATTTTACTGCCCGACGGTACTTATTTATCTCAAATATCTTTATAAGTAAACCCTAAACACAATATTATAACTAACTTTTAATCAGTTCGGCGTTCAAATGACGACACACAGTATACAATTACGAGTATATATCAGTTTCTAAAGCCTCATGCACTCAGACTATACCCATAACTCGAAAACTTTGTAATATAATAAAAAAATAATTATAGCGTAAAATGAATCTCTGCAGTATCCTTTGACAGGAATGTTTTATCAGCAAAACTATAGGTTTCTACCAACACAACAAGTCATTTAGACAATAAATGAAAAAAAATAGGGTTATTATATTAAAATGATACTAAATTGCTATACATTTCGTAGCATTCTTTATTTGTATTACTATTGTAAGTTTAAATATATATGTATGTGTGTATATTGTACGAATCTACACAATCACGTTTAATCGAACTGATACGTAATTAGTATATTATATACCACATTGCATTACAAATTGAACACATTAATCTCCTTTATTGTTATTACCATAATAAAAAAAAAAATACCTATTTCAATAATGTTACAGAGTTTAAAGATGGCAACTTACTTGGATTCGAGCAAAATAATTACGTCGGTTCTATCGAACACAGTACGGTTGATTTAGTACCAATAAAACTGGCCGGCGAATACTTTGCAGAAGTGTCCTTCACCATATATGGAGGTAAACAGCCAGTTTACAAACGACGTGTCGTGAAACTCCTTATCTTCAATTTCATATAATGTGTACATTATTGTGTAATTTCGTTCTAACATTTTATTTTCAGAATTGAGTAGTTACTTCTCGTTGTTAGAAAGTGACTCCATTATTACCGTAATACTGAATGGCCCCATCCCTGAAGAATCGATACCCGCCAACCGGATCGTAGTACTTGAGATATACGCAACCGCGGAAAATGCCTTACCCGCAGTGGCAACGATAATACTAGAAGTCGTGTCTGATGACGAGTCTATTCCCACTCAATTGGTATTTGCAGAAACTTACTATGTCGGATCTTACACCATAGACACTGGTCTCGAACTGCAAAACTCCATATCTCTGTCCGAAGGCTACGACGCAGATGTCGAATTCGATCTGGAAGGAGGTACGTCATTAGTTTTCCAAACGTGCACATTTCTGTTAAATCACAACAATTTCATAACATTTGAATAACCTTATTCCGAATCTGTATATATATACATATCTATTTTTCAGACGATTCACAATATTTCGCGATAAGTAGAGATGAGAATTCCATCACATTGAATGTGATCAACACGATACCGCCTGCCGTCTTAGAAAACAATAATCAGCTGCTGTTTGTCATCCGCGCTCAAAAACCTGGAAGCACAACTGCGAGAGCAAGTGTCATAATTTTACTGCCCGACGGTACTTTATTATCTCAAATATCTTTATAAGTAAACCCTAAACACAATATTATAACTAACTTTTAATCAGTTCGGCGTTCAAATGACGACAGACTTTGTAATATAATAAAAAAAAAAAATATAGCATGAAATAAAACTCGGCAGTATCCTTTGACAGAGATGTTTTATTAGCAAAACTATATGTTTCCACCAACACAACAAGTCATTTAGACAAATAAAGGAAAAAAAAATAGGGTTATTATATTTAACATGATACTAAATAGCTGTACTTTTCGTAGCATTCTTTATTTGTATTACTATTGTAAGTTTAAATATATATGTATGTGTGTATATTGTACGAATCTACACAATCACGTTTAATCGCACTGATACGTAATTAGTATATTATATACCACATTGCATTACAAATTGAACACATTAATCTCCTTTATTGTTATTACCATAATTTAAAAAAAAAAACTTATTTTAATAATGTTACAGAGTTTAAAGATGGCAACTTACTTGGATTCGAGCAAAATAATTACGTCGGTTCTATCGAACACAGTACGATTGATTTAGTACCAATAAAACTGGCCGGCGAATACTTTGCAGAAGTGTCCTTCACCATACATGGAGGTAAACAGCCAGTTTACAAACGACGTGTCGTGAAACTCCTTATCTTCAATTTCATATAATGTGTACATTATTGTGTAATTTCGTTCTAACATTTTATTTTCAGAATTGAGTAGTTACTTCTCGTTGTTAGAAAGTGACTCCATTATTACCGTAATACTGAATGGCCCCATCCCTGAAGAATCGATACCCGCCAACCGGATCGTAGTACTTGAGATATACGCAACCGCGGAAAATGCCTTACCCGCAGTGGCAACGATAATACTAGAAGTCGTGTCTGATGACGAGTCTATTCCCACTCAATTGGTATTTGCAGAAACTTACTATGTCGGATCTTACACCATAGACACTGGTCTCGAACTGCAAAACTCCATATCTCTGTCCGAAGGCTACGACGAAGACGTCGAATTCGATCTGGAAGGAGGTACGTCATTAGTTTTCCAAACGTGCACATTTCTGTTAAATCACAACAATTTCATAACATTTGAATAACCTTATTCCGAATCTGTATATATATACATATCTATTTTTCAGACGATTCACAATATTTCGCGATAAGTAGAGATGAGAATTCCATCACATTGAATGTGATCAACACGATACCGCCTGCCGTCTTAGAAAACAATAATCAGCTGCTGTTTGTCATCCGCGCTCAAAAACCTGGAAGCACAACTGCAAGAGCAAGTGTCATAATTTTACTGCCCGACGGTACTTATTTATCTCAAATATCTTTATAAGTAAACCCTAAACACAATATTATAACTAACTTTTAATCAGTTCGGCGTTCAAATGACGACACACAGTATACAATTACGAGTATATATCAGTTTCTAAAGCCTCATGCGCTCAGACTATACCCATACCATACTTATTACCATAATTTAAAAAAAAAACTTATTTTAATAATGTTACAGAGTTTAAAGATGGCAACTTACTTGGATTCGAGCAAAATAATTACGTCGGTTCTATCGAACACAGTACGATTGATTTAGTACCAATAAAACTGGCCGGCGAATACTTTGCAGAAGTGTCCTTCACCATACATGGAGGTAAACAGCCAATTTACAAACGACGTGTCGTGAAACTCCTTATCTTCAATTTCATATAATGTGTACATTATTGTGTAATTTCGTTCTAACATTTTAATTTTCAGAATTGAGTAGTTACTTCTCGTTGTTAGAAAGTGACTCCATTATTACCGTAATACTGAATGGCCCCATCCCTGAAGAATCGATACCCGCCAACCGGATCGTAGTACTTGAGATATACGCAACCGCGGAAAATGCCTTACCCGCAGTGGCAACGATAATACTAGAAGTCGTGTCTGATGACGAGTCTATTCCCACTCAATTGGTATTTGCAGAAACTTACTATGTCGGATCTTACACCATAGACACTGGTCTCGAACTGCAAAACTCCATATCTCTGTCCGAAGGCTACGACGCAGACGTCGAATTCGATCTGGAAGGAGGTACGTCATTAGTTTTCCAAACGTGCACATTTCTGTTAAATCACAACAATTTCATAACATTTGAATAACCTTATTCCGAATCTGTATATATATACATATCTATTTTTCAGACGATTCACAATATTTCGCGATAAGTAGAGATGGGAATTCCATCACATTGAATGTGATCAACTCGATACCGCCTGCCGTCTTAGAAAACAATAATCAGCTGCTGTTTGTCATCCGCGCTCAAAAACCTGGAAGCACAACTGCAAGAGCAAGTGTCATAATTTTACTGCCCGACGGTACTTATTTATCTCAAATATCTTTATAAGTAAACCCTAAACACAATATTATAACTAACTTTTAATCAGTTCGGCGTTCAAATGACGACACACAGTATACAATTACGAGTATATATCAGTTTCTAAAGCCTCATGCGCTCAGACTATACCCATACCATACTTATTACCATAATTTAAAAAAAAAAAAACTTATTTTAATAATGTTACAGAGTTTAAAGATGGCAACTTACTTGGATTCGAGCAAAATAATTACGTCGGTTCTATCGAACACAGTACGATTGATTTAGTACCAATAAAACTGGCCGGCGAATACTTTGCAGAAGTGTCCTTCACCATACATGGAGGTAAACAGCCAATTTACAAACGACGTGTCGTGAAACTCCTTATCTTCAATTTCATATAATGTGTACATTATTGTGTAATTTCGTTCTAACATTTTAATTTTCAGAATTGAGTAGTTACTTCTCGTTGTTAGAAAATGACTCCATTATTACCGTAATACTGAATGGCCCCATCCCTGAAGAATCGATACCCGCCAACCGGATCGTAGTACTTGAGATATACGCAACCGCGGAAAATGCCTTACCCGCAGTGGCAACGATAATACTAGAAGTCGTGTCTGATGACGAGTCTATTCCCACTCAATTGGTATTTGCAGAAACTTACTATGTCGGATCTTACACCATAGACACTGGTCTCGAACTGCAAAACTCCATATCTCTGTCCGAAGGCTACGACGAAGACGTCGAATTCGATCTGGAAGGAGGTACGTCATTAGTTTTCCAAACGTGCACATTTCTGTTAAATCACAACAATTTCATAAGATTTGAATAACCTTATTCCGAATCTGTATATATATACATATCTATTTTCCAGACGATTCACAATATTTCGCGATAAGTAGAGATGAGAATTCCATCACATTGAATGTGATCAACACGATACCGCCTGCCGTCTTAGAAAACAATAATCAGCTGCTGTTTGTCATCCGCGCTCAAAAACCTGGAAGCACAACTGCAAGAGCAAGTGTCATAATTTTACTGCCCGACGGTACTTATTTATCTCAAATATCTTTATAAGTAAACCCTAAACACAATATTATAACTAACTTTTAATCAGTTCGGCGTTCAAATGACGACACACAGTATACAATTACGAGTATATATCAGTTTCTAAAGCCTCATGCACTCAGACTATACCCATAACTCGAAAACTTTGTAATATAATAAAAAAATAATTATAGCGTAAAATGAATCTCTGCAGTATCCTTTGACAGGAATGTTTTATCAGCAAAACTGTAGGTTTCTACCAACACAACAAGTCATTTAGACAATAAATGAAAAAAAATAGGGTTATTATATTAAAATGATACTAAATTGCTATACATTTCGTAGCATTCTTTATTTGTATTATGATTGTAAGTTTCAATATATATGTATGTGTGTATATTGTACAAATCTACACAGTCACGTTTAATCGCACTGATACGTAATTAGTATATTATATACCACATTACATTACAAATTAAACATATTAATCTACTTTATTGTTATTACCATAATTTAAAAAAAAAAAAAAACTTATTTCAATAATGTTACAGAATTTAAAGATGGCAACTTACTTGGATTCGAGCAAAATAATTACGTCGGTTCTATCGAACACAGTACGATTGATTTAGTACCAATAAAACTGGCCGGCGAATACTTTGCAGAAGTGTCCTTCACCATACATGGAGGTAAACAGCCAATTTACAAACGACGTGTCGTGAAACTCCTTATCTTCAATTTCATATAATGTGTACATTATTGTGTAATTTCGTTCTAACATTTTAATTTTCAGAATTGAGTAGTTACTTCTCGTTGTTAGAAAATGACTCCATTATTACCGTAATACTGAATGGCCCCATCCCTGAAGAATCGATACCCGCCAACCGGATCGTAGTACTTGAGATATACGCAACCGTGGAAAGTGCCTTACCCGCAGTGGCAACGATAATACTAGAAGTCGTGTCTAATGACGAGTCTATTCCCACTCAATTGGTGTTTGCAGAAACTTACTATGTCGGATCTTACACCATAGACACAGGTCTGGAACTGCAAAACTCCATATCTCTGTCCGAAGGCTACGACGAAGACGTCGAATTTGATCTGAAAGGAGGTACGTCATTAGTTTTCCAAACGTGCTCATTTCTGTTAAATCACAACAATTTCATAAGATTTGAATAACCTTATTCCGAATCTGTATATATATACATATCTATTTTTCAGACGATTCACAATATTTCGCGATAAGTAGAGATGGGAATTCCATCACATTGAATGTGATCAACACGATACCGCCTGCCGTCTTAGAAAACAATAATCAGCTGCTGTTTGTAATCCGCGCTCAAAAACCTGGAAGCACAACTGCAAGAGCAAGTGTCATAATTTTATTGTCAGAAGGTACTTAGATTTTTTTTTAAATGTCTAAAAACGCTTAATAATTTTGTTGTCCATCTAATTCTACATATCCGGGAGGAAAGTAGTTGTTAGTAATTTAGCATTGTCTATCAAGTCCCATTACTTGCAATATCAGAATGACCGCCACGCGGCTCCGCCTGGAAACTCGTGTTTAATTCTTGTTGAATTCATCACGATGAACTAACTGACCTTCTTTGATTCTCATCTGTCATTTCTCTCTACTGCCCTGCCAGCATTTAATGATAGCGCAGTTGGGGTTATTAATGCCATTCTCAATCATTAATAGAATCTATACGTAATCTATCTGCTTATTTATCAGATTCTTGAATCTCTGTAATTCCAAATAACTATATTTAACTTAATTCGAAACCATGTAGTATGTAATAAATGTAACTAGTTTGGCCATAAATACTGTTGCATAAAAATTTTTTTTTTTACTTTTTAGTTATTTTGTATTTGAAACACGTTTATTATTTTAAAAACTTCTTTCGATTTTGCTACATTTTACTTTTTTGTGTTTATTATCAAATTACAATAATATAGAATAGGGTGTTAAAGAAATTAGGATTGCAGTGATCGCCTTGCATAAAGTGGGTATGGAGCCGTCAGCCATATTTCAGACACTTCAAAAGCTTGGTATCAGCCGTATGTTCGTATATCATACTGTCAACAGATACAACAACATTTCCTCTGTCGAAGACCAGAAAATATCGGGGCGGCCGCCTACTGTTAGAACTACAAAGGCTGTTAATACTGTTAAAGCCAAAATTAGCCGAAACCCCATTAGGAAGCAAAAAATCTTATCGCGAGATATTAAGACGTTTTATAATACGCGACAAAGTCCTACTAGGACTTTGTCGCGTATTATAAAACAAGACTTGAAGCTCGGTGCTCATCGTCGAGATACAGGACATGCCCTAAATTAATCTTCGCAATTAAAGAGAGTGGATCAATCAAAACACCTTCTATCGCGAAATGCAAGTGAAAGGCACAAAAATATCCTCTTTACCGATGAAAAACATTTTCACGATTGAAGAACACTACAATAAGCAAAATGATAAAGTGTACGCTCACAGTTCTAAAGAAGATGCTCAACTGGTCGGTCAAGTGGTCAAAGGTACAACGGGGTCATTATCCTACATCAGTGATGGTTTGGTGGAGCGTGTCTTATCAAGGAGTCATAAAATAATTATTTTTGTGAAAAAGGAGTAAAAACTTTAGCCAAAATCAAGATCCAGTCTTGGATCTTATTGTGAAACCTATCGGCATACACTTTTTAAAAATATACCGTGGACTTTCCAGCAGAATTCTGCATCTGGTCACAAAGTTCGTGAACTACCCAAGCCTGACTTGAAACCAACGTTCTGGATTTTATAAGAGCTGAAGACTGGCCCTCGTATAGCCCAGACCTCAACCCTTTAAATTTCAAATTGTGGTCAGTTTTAGAGGACATGGCCTATTCTAAACAAAATGATGACATTGAATCTCTTAAAAAATCTTTGGAGCAAGCAGTGGCGAAATTTCGCTTGGAAACAGTGTGTAAATCCATAGGTTCGTGGCCAGAGAGATTAAAGGCCTGTATAAAAGCCAAAGGTGGCCATTTCGAATAGAATTTTTATTTTTTATTTTTTGCTGAGTCTTTAATAAATATGTAGGTATAAATTTTTGTAATATTACATTACTCAATAAAAAAAATTATTTTTATTTGTAACAGAACTTATGGCTGGACTGAATTTTTTTAGAACTTGTTGTTTCTGCTTTGAAAAATTTGCAATTAATATATATTTTTACATTTCGTCATATATCTATCCTTGTTAGTTTTCATATCAACTATTAGCTATTTCCCGCGGCTTTGTTTCGTAAATCAGTACATAAAGTATCATATGTGCTAAACTAAGTATAACCTACCTGGTACTAAATTTCATTCAAATCCATTTCATAGGTTTTTGCGTGAAAGAGTAACAAAGATCAATACATCTATCATTAAAAACTTTCGCATTTATAATATTAGCAAGATTTTTTTTTATACAACTTAGAATGGCAAACAAGCTAACGGCCTACCTGATGGAAAGTGGTAACCGTCGCCTATAAACATGAGCAATATCATGGACATAACAGAGTATACTGTTACGCCCATGATATCCACCATGCGTTGCCATTCCTGAGGACTCAGATGTTATTCCTCTGTACCCTGTAAATTCACGCCATATCCCACCCTTCAAACAGAAACACAGCCATGCAAACACAACTGCTATACGATTGAGACACGAATGGGACAGAGGTACCCAAGCAAAAACACAACAAACACAAACAAAGTCAGTTTTGTACAAAGTCTCCCTTTGGTAGAACAAGATTGTGAATTGTGTATATATGAAATTATAAGTAATCTAATAGATATATTAAAAAACTTCGACAGATGTTTAAGTTAGAATTTAGTCTCTGTTAAACTCGCACACCAACAAGATATTATCTTCTTGTACTAATTAAATTACTTACTTATATTTATATACTTTATGTTACATTTCATATAGATATAATTTTTATTTATTTTTATCTTTCTAAATAAATAAGAAACTACATAATAGTTTCGTTACAGATTCCGATCTGAAGCAAAATGCGTCTTTCAGTAAAGTTATTTACGAAGGAATATTACAAGGAAGCGATGTTCGTCATGAAACTATTACTTTATCGAATTACAATGGTACAGACATTGAAATACTAGGAGGTAATTAAATTGATCATTATTAATTTATACTCGTGGATTTCAAAAGTAGAAAAACTAATTAAATAGACCACTCCTAGTTGGCGTATAAAAATAAAAGATACACCGTATGTTAAGATCTTTAGGAACACACTTGCGAAAACCGCATCCAATTTGGTATAGTATTTTGTTGATGCATGCTGCTGGAACAAACAGACAAAGAGACGACATTTCTAAAAAATATTTTTTTATTCTCTGTTATTCTTATTAAGATCCCTTATATAATTTTTTCAGGTACATACATTGTCTAGTTAAAATTTTATTATATAAGCATAATTCTATTAATATTTTATTAAGTACTATAGTTTTTTTTATAAATAGTAAAATTTTTATTATATTACTATAGCTCTATTACTTGCACTGTGATATTAGTAAAATAAAATTAGTAAAATTTACATTCCATAATGTCAGATTTTTTGTAATGCATTTTACCGTAGAATTAAAACTTTTAAATTAACATAAATTCTTTAAGACAAGAGTAGTAAGTTTACTACTCTGCCTTAAAGCTAGCTACTATCTTATTAATAATGGCCGACTTTTACCGAAATAGATAATTTAGTTATTTTCTTACATTCATTTTCCAAATAACTGTTTACAATAGTTCCAGAAATTATTTCTAACAAACGAACGTATATTATGTAAAGTAAAATTTTAAAAGGAAATAGGTAATAGAATAGATTTATATTTTGATTATTAACATATTTACAGAATATTCAGCAATATTCGCGGCCGAGTTATCAAACGGTCTAGTAGTAATACAAACTATGAATTCAGCGGCATTACCGACGAATACCGCCTACATAATATTGGAACTGCAAGCTGGCAGCGCTGGCTCTGGACTCGTACTTGAAGTTCAAGAAGGTAAAAAAATAAATCTTAATATTATTTTAACTAAATTTTGAAATAAAATTTTGGGTTAATTTTAAACTTGCTCCGTGCGTAGATATATCATCTGGCAAATCACATCAGCAATCTTCTTATCTCCTATCTCCATCTATATAATATTATAAAAAGGGAAGAATTGAATTTTTGTATATTTATTTGTTTGTAATGAATAAACTTAAAAATTATTCAGCCGATATTAAGCCGATACCAGAGGGAGACTTTGTACAAAAGTCGATTGCTTGGGTACCTCAGTCCCATTCGTGTTTCAACTGTGAAGCAGTTGTGTTTGTATAGCTGTGTTTCGGTTTGAAAGGTGCGATATGGCGTGAATTTACAGGGTACAGAGGAATAACATCTAAGTCCTCAGGAATGACAACGCATGGGCGGTATCATGAGCGAAACAGTATACTCTGTTATGTCCATAGTACTGCTCATGTTTATAGGCGACGGTTAACACTTTTTCATTGGTATACCTCTTTTTTCAAATCGAAACACAATCATACAAACACAACTGCTTCACGATAGAAACACGAATGGGACAGAGGTGCCCAAGCAAACGACTTTTGTACAATGTCTCCCTCTGGTAATTTATTAATTAATAATTTTCTTTAATACCTGAAAAAAACTCATTTAGTTAATGAAATAATGTAAGTTGTTCACCTGACGAATATATATAATTATTTATTTTTCAGAAACGCATATACCACCTTCAGTAACATTTAGTTCGCCTTCATATATATTACGAGTGGAGATTTCCCAAAATGGCTTCATTGGAAATGTGCTCGCTACCGCCGATAATGGAGAAACTGTTCAATACTCACTTCAAAATGTTAATGGTAAGTTTCTACTTCGGTCTCAGTCTATAATTAAAGATATACGAGTATAAAACAATATATGCACCACATATAAGTAAATATATTATCATTAAGTCCACAAAAAAAACATGCTTGGCAAGTAAATACCTATACAGGTACATATGTGAATGATCCCCTTGAGATTAACGCCTAAACTTTCTTAAAAGCAAACACGTGTTGTAAATATTTTGTTATTGTCTTTTTGTAGTGGACAGAGTATAATGTTATTTTATTATTTTGTATTATTATAATTAATCGTAATTAATTATTAAAATGAGTTATAAAGCCTCATCATTAAATAATTACCTTATATTTTTTTATTTGAGGCATCAGGTTCGTGTAGGTATATAAAAATAGGCAAATTATGTATTATTGCTTAAAATATGTATATTTGAATAATAGAACGAATAAAATTTTTTATACCTATAATTGTTAGCAATATACTCTACCAAATCGACCTACATGCGGTTCTCTCTGGAAACCATCGCAGGTCAAAATCAATATCAAAATCAGCCCTATACTTTTTAATGTTTCTCTCAAACAGAACTTGGTTTTTTTACATCATCATACTAAAAAGGCAAAATGTACCTTCTAAGTGGCACTTAATGAATTTTGCAAGTAAGCAAAAAATTAAAAAGCAAATTAAATGATAATAGGCAGTATAGTAAACTTCTGATATAGTTAACGTCACATCTTTGTATTTTTAAATATTTTTTATTGATAAAAAATATAAAACAACGAAAAGTTGTGGAATGTAAACCAAAGTTGTAGTTGGCCATTTTGTGACTTTTTAATTAATTATATTACTCAATATCGGTCAAAGTGGCACTTAATGAACTAAGCCTTTCCGGCGTCGATATAGCTTCTACCAGGACTTATGCATTTTTTTAATTAAAAGACTAAGTACCTTTTTTTTACTTTAAACGCTGCCTATTTATATAATTAACTTTTAAATTCGATAAGAAATTTAAAAAAATACTGTATCCTTGCAAACATACATTAGGTATCAAATGTATGAAATGTAGTAAGTACTTACTTATTACATAGTTTTTAAAAAAATTTAATGCACACATTTGTTTAAGGGGAGCATTCCTTCATCCTTAATATAAGATTCTAACAATGCAGATTGTTTGTATACAAACAAAATAAAGTTATTTCTTTTTACATTTTTAGTTGAGATCAATTTTCGGCTCAGATAAGTTTATTTAAAAAACTGGGAACATTTAAATAAAATTCTGCCTACTTCAATATTTAGTCTAATATACTATATAGCTATAAGAAACAAATTAATGTTTTCAGAACACCTCCAAACACGTCTTACGATAAACAATAATGGAGAACTGCACTTATCTTCCCCGGCCAATAGTGGAGTTTACAGCTTCCAAGTGATTGCCACTACGCTCTTCACACAAGCTACGGGCACCGCCTCGGTGTGTCATAACCTCATTATATTCACACTTTATGATTAACCTTCAACCGTTATCTTTTGCAATCTGTTTAATCTTTGTTTGTTTTTTCTTCAAACATGCAAAGAAGTATTTTTAGAATGTCGTGCATAATTATAAGTAAACTCCACGCCACGAACAGGAGGAATTTCGTACATTATCACCTCTGTATTGTGAATATAAACAACGACAATAGCATTTGTTGACCAAGACGGACCAAATAATTAAAATAAGATTTTGTGATTCAAACGTGACACAATTCGTATGGGACTAATACGGAAATAAATTAAATCCTGGCTAATTTTAAACTGGTTTGGTTTCCTCTGATATACATAAAAAATAAAAACAGTAATATTGAACAGTTCCTCTTTTTTCTCAAAGACATTTTTTTCTTAAATTGCTAAGCTCCTTTTCGTGATTTAAAACCAATGAATATAACACGGATTCTAAAATTGGAATTTCAGAATTAAAATATAAAATTAAATATTAAAAATTATAGTACTATTTATTACCCATAGCTTTGCCAAGATGATAATGGTTAAGTTTACAAACTCATTTTCAAATTTATAATATTTTTAAGGATATATAAATATTTAATTTATAATTATTTGGTATTAACAGTCATAAATGTATTCAGTTAAAGTTCTGAATTCACTGATACAACTAATACAAAATAAAATGTGAAATTTACATTTTATGTCGTAAAGAGATGCTTTTTTAAATTTTCACTCTATATAAAACGTCGTTAAAGATAATAAGGTCAATACAAAATTCCTTCTGCTTCTGTCACGTACTTTACTGCAATTTAAGTACATATTTACATAATACTTTCTTAGTAATATTTAGTAACTTTAATAATTTCCAGTTACTCGGTGGTATTTATTAATTACTGTCTTAAATATTTTTAAAGGTATATCTAACAGTGGAATCGGCTGTAATATGCGGAGATGATATAGTAGTATCGCCACTTATTGTCTTGGATAAAGACGAGGAAGAAGAACATAAAAACTTGGTTGTCCTCAATAGCACAGAGTTCGTCGGTTGTCACTACACACTTACAAATCGTTGGCCTGTCGATCAAAACTGGTTGTATGTTGACGAAACTGGCCTGCATGCGCATGTCATCGATAGAGAACACGAGTCTATCGCTTTCATGCCCCTGTCACAAGTTCAAGTTGAACTACTATTAGAATGCGAAGGCGACATATCCCATGTTAAAACATCTATGGACGCCGGCATGAAGTCCGATTGGTTGGGCCCTTACGACTACGGTTCTAGCAACTGGATACTTGCTGAGACAATACTGTACAACTCGAGACGAAGCTTCGTTAACTTGATAGTGAATGATATCAACGATAATGATCCGATTTTCATTGGAAAAGAGAATGAGCCTATAGCTGTTGGTTATCCCATAGCTGAACTGGAAGAGATTATTCTGCCGCGTGCGTTAGCTGAATTACAGGTACCTATATTATTTCATCATTATTATAACAAAATATCAGTGTTCCACAACTAAACATGGGTCGGTCTCTATACGAAGTCGAATATTTGCCTACTTGCCCAATTAGTTAAACATGTTAAAGTATAAGGTCTTCAAAATACCTATAATGTTCACTTTATCCTATTCATAAAGTTATTATGTTTTGTAATTATTAAAACAAAATGTCAGTCCATTATGACTCCAAAGCAAGATGTCTATTAAAATCAGCTAATCGTAATATTATTCCTATAAAGTAAATTTACTATGGAACTCTCCCTGACAACATGACCCTCATTTCCTGAGAGATGGGTCAAGCGCTAGTATTATATGTAACGCTACCTGCGTCGGTACTTTGGACCCGTCGCATATTTTGGGAATGAATAAAAGCTTTAAAAAAGGATATCACAACAAACTAAAAATATAAGGTTATCGACTTCGTATAAATATACTTTCATTAGCTTACTTACATCTTTTTCAATCTATATTTAAAACAAATATTTTTGTTTTCCCGTGGTCCCGACACACAGAAGTTGAAATTTTTAAAGTATTTTAAAGTATTTTTATATATATTTAATAATTGTGTTTGGCTGATATGTTGATGATCTGATTACTGGCACATTATTATTAACTTAAATAACACAGCAACTAAATACAGTCAGCCATTATTATTTTATGAACAATGCCACTCCAAACCAAACTGTTACTTACGTTTCAGTATAGCAATTTATATAAACTTTTTAACTTATTTAAAAAAAAATCAATATGATCATGGCTATAACCATAAATAAGGGGTAATCAGAGACATTTTATGATTTGTTTTTGTTATGGTGAACATAGCTTTGCTTACTTATGTTTAACATAATCAAATCCAACTTGGTCATTGAAGTATATAGTGACAGGAATGCCACTACCAACTATTTAAACTTGGTCACTACCAAGTTTAAATAAGTTTTTATGTGTATAAAATAAATAAATTTAAATGTTTGAAGGTAGACTACAACTGTGGCTAGAAGTGGAAATTTAATATACTTACGGTTAATGTAAATGTAAAGTAAACAAAGTTTACTTTGTAACTCGAAGATGTTACATTATTGTCGTTTTATTGCATTGCAAAATGTGAGCTTTGTTAAACTAATTAGCAGTAGAAAGGTATAACATTTTACATGAAGGTGATAACAGTGTTGGTGGTATGCTTACCTCTTCAACATTGTAATATTTAAATTATAATATTGAAGGTACATATACATATCAATAATAGCATTACTAATTTTGAATTAAAATATAGAAGAGAACAAAACAATATTATAATTTGTGACATATTTTAATACAAATTCTATTTCACTTGTGTTTGAAACACAACTAAATTGTCTACATTATCTTACTTGCCAAGCGTGGCAACTACTGGCAAAACCCACCTTATGGGGGAGACTACGTTTAGCAGTGGACATTTAACGGCTAATAAAAAAAAAAGTTATTCACTCAATTAATCGCTTTAATATTTCGCTTTCCCCAACTGCCCCCTTCAATTGCGGAAACGAAACAATTTATGAGTTCTTACCTACCATCTCTATGCAATGACAAAAAAATTCAATCTCAGTTCTGTCTCCCCTACTTCAAAAACCCGTAGCTCATATAAAACATCGAAGACAGGTACAATTATCTAAGCGACTTACAACTGCAAAAATAGTACCTTATTCTTATAAAAACTAAACCTAGTTCAGCTAAACTGAAACTAAACGTGATGTTACAAAGTTATATATATTACTGTTAGAGCAACGAATAAAAAAATTCACGGCAAAATAATATTAGAATGACGGGACAAAGTTAAGTATCTCCCGAACAAATTTAAAAGGGCGATACACTAGCCGAAGCCAAGAGCCAAGAGACATTCTAAATAAAATAGTCCATTAATTCGGCAGAGACCTGTGTAGAATTTTTCGTTAAACGGCTCTTTTATTTGAAAGCGGAAAAGAGCATTGTATTTTTTTTTTCCTTCTATTTGAAAATAATGAAGCAATTTCCAAGCAAATGGAAGAAAAGGCCTTTTATTATTAGCACACCACTTTGCGTACCCCTACCCTTCCAAAACTACAAAAAAATTTTTACACAAATTTCATGTAAAAACTCTGAATTGAAATCATGCAATATCAACTTGGACAGTATGCTATATGTATACCAGAGGGAGACTGTATAAAAGTCTTGTGCTTGGGCACCTATGCCCCATTCATGTTTCTATCGTGAAGCAGTTGTGTTTACATGGCCGTGTTTCAGTTTAAAAGGTAGAATATGGCAGTGAATTTAATATATAGAGCTCAGAGGAATAACACCTGAGTCCTTAGGAATGGTAACACTTGGGGGGTATCATGGGCGAAACAGTATACTCTATTATGCCCATGGTGTTGCTTATGTCTATAAGCGACGGTTGCCACTTTCTATCAGGTGGTCAGCTTGTTTACCATTCTAAGTTGCATAAAAAAATGCTTATTTGAATTTAGTTCAGGGCAAAAATGAGAAGCTTTTGAACATTTCGAAATCTCAACTGATAATGTTATTTATATCAGTTGTTTCCTGAAGTCAAGTTACTATACCTTCTTAGACACTTCAAACGATTACATTTATGTCAACACTAAAACGAACTGAAACAAGTGTCAATATAATATTTGCTATGGTTAACCAACTTCGACTATAAATAAACAGATTCGTTACATTTTAGTCCAAAAAAAATCATCATCAAAACAAAGCCCAAATACTCAAGTGAGCATCTAATAAATAGGTAGAAGTATTTAAATAGATACTTATTTGATTTGATGTTTGACCTTGTTACAGCCTGATTAACTTAGAGATATTTAAGGACGTTGTAAATTTAGTTATTAATTATTTATGGTTATCAGGCAACCGACGCGGACATAGGACAGAACGCAGCGCTGATGTACTGGAGCACGGCGCCTGAGATAGCGGTGTCACCATGGAGTGGCGTCGTGCATGCCGCTGCACCGCTCTCCGCCAACCTCACACTAACCGTCAGCGCTACCGACCGACGCGGGCAGGGGAACACTGGTTCTATACAGCTTATTGTAAGTACCTATCTCAGAATACAGGACAAATGACAAAGAGAAGAACTTCGATGATTGTATGCTACGTATCTCCAGATACTCAGATATAACAAACGTTCTTCTCTTGCACTAGATAAGTAGACTCATCAGTTTCTAAATAATACAATTATGTAAAAACTAGCTGACCCAACAGACGTCTCATCATTCTATTATGTATTATTTCAATAAAATGCTTGAATTAACAGCTAGGAACAGTTTGTATATTCATAAATTTTTTATACTTTTATGAAGTTCTATAAATACTTAGAAAAATGGTGCCCAGTCATTCTCAAGTTTTTCGCATCGCAACACATTTAGTGATTCATTTTATTTATATAATACATTTGAACAGTACACTTCTCGTATAGGAACCTTGATTTCCTCGATTCTATGCACTTATCCTATAATTGCTTTATATGAGACCTTGGATTTGAATCCTGAATAGTGCAGAAATGTTTTTAAAATGGGTCAATCATTCTTTTTCGTGGTTTATTCGTGGGTATCGTAAAGAATAAGAGAACTTAATGCTTCGATCATTATGGGCAACAGCATCTCTCTTAAACTACATTAAAAGTATAACTGCGATTGCTAACTACTAGGGTTGCCAGTAGTTGCCTGCCAAGCGAGGCAATTACTGGCAAACCCCCCCCCCCCATATTGGGGAGGCCTATATTCAGCAGTGTACTATTAACGGCTGATATGATGATGATTGACTCTTTTGATTCCATAAATCAAGAAATGTCTTATTTTACCGTCTGACAATTCGAACCCATAATTCTCACATCCCATTATTCCTTATGCTGTTATAATTAATTTTGGTCTTAGAAAAATAAATTAACTAACGGCAACTATTAGCTGTTATGTATAAAACTTGCAAAAAAATACCATATTGCGTAAAATATATGGTATTTTCTTTGCGAGTTTTATATAATATTTATATATTTATTACAAATTTAACAATACCTAATAAATTATAATCTTAATAAAAATTCAAAATTTTGGTTTGCCGCACATAAATTATATACTTCAGTCATGTTATCTCCGGGGCTCGTGTTCAAAACCTGTTTGTGCTCTGAAAATTTATGAGTTGAGAACACATCCTGATGATGATATGATAAAAACACCTTTTATTATTAACGACTAACCACAAACACAGAATTAAAAACTCCGTATAAAAGAATTATCACGTAAAATGCAGTAACACAATAAAGTTTTACAAAGCAGTCAACCTTAACAGATCGCACGATGTTAAAGCTTTAAATATACATTTTAGTTATGTGCGTTTATTAACCCCAGTTAGACGTGTTGCCTTCAATGTACTAACGTATGACTATTTTAATTCCAGGTAAAAATGTTAGACGTAGAAAACATAGCTATAGTTACTGTCCAAGATGCATTTTTGGAGGATGAACAGGTTATCTTAAGCAATTTAAGTAGTGCACTCGGTTACGATGTCAAAGTTCTGAGGACTGGTGTTGTGGTTGAAGATCCACAAGACGAGATAAATGAAGAGGCAATGAGGAAGAAACGCGAAGCTATCAACATAGGAGTATCATTACAACTTTATGTTTATGGATTAATACAACGTGAACCAGTTGATGTAGACCGTCTTACTGAGTAAGAGAAGTGATATCATTTTTACCATACTTATAGCGCAGTGTAAAGAAATAGTCTGCCATTAATGTATCTAATTTGCTAATGAATTCAAAGTATGGACTTTTAACTGTTTTAGGTATACAGTTAACGGTTTAAAACAACAAACAACGAAGAAATAAAAAGTCCTTATTTAGTATTCAGGGTACCAAATACATACAACTATGGTTTAAGTAAATGTAATCATATTCATTTCCTTGTTACTATCTATTCACTGTTATAGTAGGTACATGAGAGATGAAATAATCATTTTCTTCTACAATCTAAATAAGGGTAATTTACAATTAATAATTGCCAAGTTTCTAATCATAAACAAATATTTAATTATACCAGAATGTATAAATAAGAAAAAAATAGGTAACAAACATATATTTTTTGTAAACGTATGAAGTTCAAAGAATTAAATAATTAGTAAGAATATCTATTATTGTAAGAAAAATCGAATAAATCTCACAAAAGGTTTAATAAAAACTGCCTTCTTATTATAACTATTTAACTAAAAGTATGTTTGGATTTAATATCTCCATAAAACTGTTCAAATAGTTCAGTTTATTTTCTATAATATAATATACACTGAGTAGATTTCAATTTTTTAACCATAAAAGAACTTAGGAATAGATATTAAAAATGTTAACAACATTATTATATCTATTATCCTATTGCAATTATAATAAAATTTATCGTTACACAAACATATTTTTTTAATCTTTGATGATATTTTAGATCCTTAGAGTGAATAAAATTTAATAGAGAAATAACTACATTTCAGAGACATAGCGAACAGCTCAATAACTTCTATCAGCATAACGAGTACTAAACGACTAGAAGATTATCTGAAAGATCGCGAGACATGCGCTGGCCCGGGACGTGATATAGGCTTGCTAGCCGCTACAATTGTCCTCAGTATACTACTCTTCATACTAATTGTGACCATAGCTATATGGTTCATCCTAAAATGGTAAGCGAACCGTTATCTAAATTACGTAAGTACATTCTATGACCATAACCAAATTTAAATGACATTGTTATACACAGGAGGAAAGGCCGAAATTATGAACAGTTTAACGACGAAGATAGTGCTGTATCCCGTAATGACTCACTAAGTCAATTACCAAAACCAGAGAATCGGCCGCAACCTAGAATAAATATAGAAGACCTGAAGAGAAGTGAAAGGAGACTTCAGGAGATGATTGATGCATCTTATGTAGAACCTGTTAAGCATGCTTCTACAAATGAAAACATTCCTGTTGACACTATTATTGACATTCCTTCACCCGATCCTATAGCTGCCATTGTGGTTCAAGATAAACTGAAAGATGCAGATCCCGATCATGAAGAAGATGTATTTGGTGAACATAAGCCACAAAGAAGAAAGTCTATAGTCACGTTTAATGAAAATGTGCAAAAAATCATACACGTTGATGAGAGCCCAGAAAATAATTCAGATAGTGACGTCGATGTACATAAATTATAAATAAAAATAAATTATACCTAATTTCAGATATAGATTCTCTTATGTAATATGAATGTATAAATGTACATATGTTTATTTATTAAAATTTTCTTAATTAAATTAATTATTACAGCTATTGTTTACCTTCAAATAATTAGGTAATTAAATATTTAAAAAAATATTTAATTACTAAATTTATTTTAAATTTAGTATCTATATAAATACAGCTATAATTTTATCTTCACCCTGATTAATATTAAAAAAAAAAACTAAATTATTGAAATAATTTTGTCACTAATTTGGATTAAAATAAATAAATCATATAAAATATAGCAATATAATTATCTGCCATGTCAAGAAACAGTAACAAATTCAAGACGTGTTTGAAACTCCAAAGTTGGGTAACTCTTATTAAGAAGGCATTGCTCCCTTTACGACTGACCTAAGATTTTTATCAAACTGAATTAAGTTACTTTATACGAATTTAACGTTTTAAACACCTGTGCCTTGATGCATAAAGGATGATGCATTCTACTTTTTATAAATTTCAAATAATATAACAAAAATATAAGTACATAGGTAAAAAATTTTGGCAGAAACAAACATACGAATTCTTGTATGTACTACAATGTTATTACTTATTCTAGTGACAACAAAACTCAAATTTATAATATTGATAGGATAAAATTTTTACCAAAAAATAAATATACTAGTACATTTTAAAAATACTTCCAAACAGCAATATTTTTTGCTGAAATGACACTCGCGTAGACTATCCTTATAGACTATTTTCTTACTATTATCAACATGGTTATGTTGATATATATATTTAGATATATTAAGGATTTAATTTTAACTTTAACTAACGAACCTTACGTATGTAAGTCATATTTCTATGAATTCACTATTTTTCGAAATTATAAAATTACTGAAGACTAACTAACTTTAACTTTTGTAATCAAAATTTAATATAATGATAGATTTTGTATTTCATTACTATTGTGTTATATTGTGTTACCTGCATACTACATTTTACTATGAATTAGATACATGTTTTTTAGGCTAAAATTAAACATTAACTCGTCTTCTTCAATTACACAAATTTATACAGGAATGACATTCATTTTAATAATTGATAAGAGAAATATAAATTAAGAAAAATGTGTGAAATAAATTTACCTAGGTACCATAAAATGTAACAGTTACATTGATGGTTAAATATAATACTTTCCGTATGGTATGGCGAGAAAATAAAAATAAATAGTATATAATAGATAAAATATCTCCATAAAAATGCTTCGAAAAAAACGAGTCAACTTTTCTATACAATTTTTCGTGATATGTAGTTATAAGTGATTCCTTTATAACCTATATTTATTTTGTCTTACAATTTCTACATCTTTTAGTGCTTTTTACTCATTTTATTTATTAAATAATACGTCAACACATTTTATGCGTAAGTATATAGAACACTAATAAAAAACGAGTTAGCTAATTTGACAATTAGCTGACAAAAAATTAATTCGTTTTTGAGGCTCGATGCTCTATCTAAATAATCTAAGTATATAACAATATATGAGTTTATTTTTATCTCGGTCAAAGTAAGCATTATTAATACTATTTTTAATAATATCTAATTAGTTACAAATATGTACTTTAAATAGTTTGTTTTGTACCACTGTGATGACAAGTATACGGCCCACCTGATGGTAAACGGTTACCGTAATCTATGAACACCTGCAATAATAGGCGTATTATGCGCACATTGCCAATCCTGAAAAAAACTTTTTACCCTTTTTATATCGTAAATAGTGACATGTAACTATCATTCATACTTGTAATGAAATGATTAATAAAATTGTTATATAAAAAGACATTAATAGCTAATAATACAAGATTATTCATATTGAATTAATTAATCAACATAGTGCGTAAGCTTGTCTAAAATAACCGGCTCGATGCTTCGTCGTCATTAATAGGTACCGCTAAAATCCTGTTTCAATTTCCATATCGTTTATTAACATATTATTTGCAAATTTTATACATTTTGACTCTCCAGAACGGTGAACAGTGATACAATGACAATAATATCACTACGAAACTCGTATTTACAGTTATATTTCGGCCAGCAGTTTTAAAGCTACGAATTTTTGATATTCAAAGCGCAAATTGTTGATAACATCAGAAGCATGTCCGAATGTAGCATATGTATCAAAGAACAGCGTGTAATAGGCACATTGGATGAGATACGCCCCCACGGAATTTTTGATAGGATTATAAATACTTCCAATACCCGTTTGTTAAAATGATGGATGATCAAAGCTAGTAACTGAGATTGAACTTGGAATACTTTTAGATTAAATAAAGCTAACAAGTGCAAGAAGCCGAGGGTTGTTGACGTTATATTTTTATTTAGGTAGATTGAAATTTGTTACTATATCATTATTAAGAAATAGATTCCCAATCTGTCCATAATTTATTTAATTATTAGTTACTAGAATTTATTTGACTGTCAAAAAAAGAAGATATTAAACATTACCGTCTTACTCCGGGTATACGAAGATACTTCCGGAGTTTTTTACATGGAAATACCTCTCTAGTATAAATGACAGAATAAACAATAGTTATATATTACTTAATGGATTTATTTTAATATTAAAACTGCTGTAAGCATGACGACAGTATACAATAAATATAATTAGTATAAACTGTTAAACACTTTCTTTTAGTTAAAAATACAAAGTTAAAAATCTTGTATTTCTTGTAATTTTTCCACTCGATTGTACTTTGCGTAAAGTTTCTATAAAAAAATTAAATATGTTCACATCTATAATCTCTGATGAGTAATAAGAAACATTTGTAGACATTTATGGCATTGAAAACCTAAAAATCATGCCCAATTTTTACCGAGCATATTAAAATCCAACGCAACAAGGAACATACTTAGGACGATCACTTGAATTTAATTTATTGACGATGTTTTCCATTACTGGAGAATTAGCCGAAAATTTAAATTGACATACAAAAATTTTTAGTGTCAGCCAGATTTGAGGTTACAAGTTTATGACATAAGCTACAACTATGCCTCTTCTAATTGCAAATAACAAAATATTTAGGACAACGCCACTTGTGTTTGATTATACGTAGTGCGCTTATAAATTTGACCTATATTTGAACTCAAACAACCAGCTTCAAATTGATTTTAAAAATGTTTCTTTTTACATAACATGACACACGACTGTACCTTTACCTATCTAATATATTATAACTAATTAAATAGCTTACAATCATAAGCTATTTAGTTTGTCATATTAATTAGTTATTTACGATGACTTGCTTTCCTATCTATCTGTAGTGAGCGAATTTGACAATTGAATATTTAACCACTTTCTATATAATGATCCTGCTAAAATTTTGCAATTTTTTTAAGTTCTGAGGAATAAAAGATCTTTTAATTTGTCGAATAAATGGAAAAAACAATATTTTTTAAATTAAAGTTTTACCATGTAAACAAAAGTAGTAAATATTTTTCTCTTTGAACCACCTAATAATACAAATACTTGGAGTGCTCAAGTTTTATTCCTTCATAAAATTAGCCTTATGTTAATAATGGTAATATTATTAGAAAATACTTATACTGTTCCAAATGACAATGATCAATTTCGTTAGGACATTTTTAAAGAATTTTGAAGAATGGCTAGAAAAATATATTTCAGGTCATCATTCAATTGATTTTGCGTGAAAAAAGCTAGTGTAAAAATCAACCTTTGATAGTGCTCTAAAAGGCAAAACCGGTATTTATTATAAAACCTTTTATGTGAAAGAGTACACATCTTTTCTAAATTAATTAAATTAAATCTAAAATTATCGTCTACTATAATAGTCTGGAAAAAGAAAGAATGAAATTTGTATTAATATAAACATAGATTTAAGCATTTTTTAAAGAAAACATTATTATAATATATATTCTTTATTTTTTATGTATATTAGTTTTACAGAGCATGTCATTATTTAAAATGAACTGTTAATTACACACCGATATTTTCAATTCTTTTTATAATTAATAAGGTGTACTCCAATATTGTTCGATATTTTTTTTTTTACTATTAAAGCAACCTATTTTGATGGTGAAAAAAGTAAAACTAAGTAAAACACTAGACACACAATTTCGCCTCCTAAATTCAAATATTTTAATTGTAATACGTCTATAAATCATCCCGTCGTTTATCGGCGTGGGTGTATGTGTGTACACCATAGATTAAGGAAAGTACATCCAGTCCCAAGTGTTCACGATTGGAGTATTTTTTTTACGAAGCAAAATATACTTCTTGTGTAAAATAAAAAATAAATTATTAAGTATTTTAAAACCTACCTAACGTCGGCGTTTTATGAATTGCCATGTTTTAACGCAACATGTATTTGTAATAATCCATCTTAAATTATCTTATGAAAAGCGAAGCAATCATATCAATTTTAAACAAAGGATACATAGTGACATCATACGCTAATTAAAGAACAGCCTTCAAAGATTTTTATTTTTTGTTGCTGAATTTATTACCATTCCACATCTTACGATGCAAAATGTTATTGCCCTATAAAAATAATATTGGTAATATTGTAAAATTAAGGTAAAAGTATGATGATAGATATTTAAGATTTCATGTTACGTTAGATAGATTGGATTGAAATTAGACACAAAAGTAGACCATATCTTAGAATTATGTTTTATAATTGTGTTCTGATGAAATAAATAACTAGGTATTTTATTATGTTTAAGAGTTAGTAGTTATTTGTTTCTACTTTATATTAATAAATAAGCTAGGTACCTATACCTAGCTTACCTAGCAATACTAATGCCAGAGGGATACTTTGTGTAAAAATTATGTGCTTGTGTGATTCGTATTACACTATATTTGGAATTGAATGATGGGATATGACAATGAAATTACAGGGTACGAAGGTACATCACAGTCCTCAGGAATGGCAACAATGAGGGTACTATCGTTACCACAATGAGTTCTGTGATGTCTATGATTTTATTTATGTCTATAGACAAAGGGGTCCACTGCTCATCAAGTAAGCAGTTTATTTGCCATACTAATATAAAAAGGATCCCCTAATAATTGATAAAT